TTGTTCTTTAAGCATAAAAAACCACATGTTCATAAATAAAAAACTTTTATTCTCTATGTAAAGAGATCAAAATCGATTTTTGAAATTCACTATCAGTTCTCGACATATCGCCATCTTGTCGGCATGTTCGATCTAAAAGTCACGTGATATCTATAAACCACAAAGAACAAAAAGAATCGGGGATTTAACGACCGTGCGTTAAAAACTCCCATCATCAATTGGGGATTACCGTAGACGGTTATTCAGTGTCAAAATGTCTTGTCAGGCGTACGGTTGTTCTGTCAGACAAGGTTATGACAAAAGTCTACATAGTTTTCCCAATCCCACAAAAAAAGAAAGAATTGTATCAGACATGGTTGTACAACCTTAAACTAACAGCAAATAGTTGCATCTATAGCAAGCACAAGTTGGTGTGTGAAGACCATTTTGAACAATATTGTTTCGAGGGAGATTCGATGGTAATTATCCTTTTTTAATAACAAAATAACCTAGCAGTTCTGATAGCTATAGTTATCAAATCCTTATATGATAAGATCTCGTTGAATAAAAAAATATAGATTTGATGAGGAAGAACAGTTTCAATTATAAGAAAGACAAATGCAGTGTTCTTGTAACAATCACTTATTTACAGAAGATTCATTAGTATTCCTCTTTTATATAAAGTGCATTGATTTGTATAAAGAATAGTTCCGTATTTAGACAAGATAATTTTTCAATTAATAAAGTTATACGATATAAAATAAATTTTTTTAATTATGATATGTAACGGCTATTGACAAGGATCAATGTTAGGAAGAGGTTTTAGCTGGGACATAATATGTTGATATAGTATAATATTCCCAGGTTATAGATATGTAAATATCGAAATATCGGACATCTCAATTTGTTTTATTAAAAGTGTTTTTTTTTAACTAATCTTTAAATTATATCAAATTGATACGGGATCAATTCGGAAGGGTCACTTATGAAGACACTTAGCTTTACAGTTAAATGTGGGACTCTATCTGGTATGTTCAGTGAAAAATTTATAGGTTTTTTTCTTTTTAAATTTTATTTACGTTATCTTATTATATATATTTTTTGGCCTCCCGAATTGATAATAGGTATGTCAGAATTATTGATAGATGTTGTGTCAGAGCGACACATTCAGTTAGGTATTCCAAGGACGTATATTAGATACACGTCCCTGGGTATTCCAGTGACATCCTGTCGACTAAAAATTCGTATTACACAATTATATAATACAGGTTCATGCATGGCCTCTTTATTGAGGTACCCGGTGTGCACAGGTAACATTTATTGAACCATATATTTGTGTCTAACGTTGTTTCTCTTGTGTGTGTTTGAAATTATAATTTCACCTTTTAATGAATGATGTTCTGATAATAATATTATCCACTATTTTTACTGATAATAAGTTTAAAAAAAATGATAAACATGACCTTTGAACATTTTTGTGAAATGAATATTGTTTTGTCATGATTCTGGACCATATTTTTGAAGAAAAAAAAATCTTCACGCAAATACAAGCTTTTGTCGATTGGCAAACATGCAGATATACAAAGTAATGCAGCACTTATAGTCACTTCAATATTAATTCATTGAAGATAAGAGAGCCCCTTCTATGTCTAATGTTCATATCTTTATAAAGATTAGGACGACAGGGGGAAAAGGAGCGGAGATAGAGTGGCATAGTGAAAAAAAAATAACCGAATAGAGAATAATATAGAGAATGATCGACGAAAAGCGAAATAGTTATTGTAAAGGAGCGGAGATAAAGAGAGGCATAGTGAAAAAAAATGTTTGCTTGACAAAGTTATTGCTCGCTTTGATATTTTTAGTTATACTAAATCACACACCGTGTTCCTAATTGGTATTCACGTGCACTAACTTGATGCTGGGAACAGTATATTAATATATATGTTCCTGCTTGATGTGTTAAGTTTCTGCATAGCATGGTTAAAAATAATTAGTATCCCATTTGTTATATCGTAGTGTCACGGTGTTACTTTGTTAAATTTGTTTAGTTTGTTAATGATTTTGTAAATAAGAATAAATCTGTATAAAAACTTCATACCATTTTAGTGATTGCCTATAGGCGTTTGATTATTGTTACATTTGAGATATATATATTTAGAACCTTTCATACATCTTAAAGGGAAAGTCCGCGATTTTTTACTTATCATCTAAATATGTTCATCTTAACATAAAAAACACATTCACAAAGTTTTAAATTTATATTATTTCTAATAACGGAGAAAATCAAGTATTTGTAACTTTTTTGGTTGACCTACGTCACTGGGTTGTGACGTTTTAACCCGATTTGTTGAATCATGGGAAAAAATAAAATCTGTTAAAGTCTTAATTGCTTATAAAAATTTTACGTAATTAAAAGCGCACAGATGACCGTTGGCCGTAGTTAATAACCACAATATAAAAACAGAGACATATAATACAAAATAAAAATGAGAGAAAATGAATATGTGTGTACCGTTTTGTAATGATTGAATAAAACTTCCTATATGAAATTATCTAAATATAAATATTTTCGAATAAATTTCATAAATTATTGGGATTTTTTCACAAAATATCTATAGAACATTTTTACTGATATTGAACTGAAAATATTTTAAGTTTTATTTACCGTTATAACTTTGATTACCATTTCAATGCAAAATATTTGTGAACAGAGTGTGTATATTATTTTGTAAAGTCATTGTTTATTTCTCGATTTGAGGAGCATTCGTTTGAACTTTACCTTGCAGCAATTTAGCCTCAGGCGTACACAGGTGTGAATTCAAGCGAACACAGCTAGGTGTGAATATTGTCATTTTGAATGGATTAACAGAAAGAGTATAGCGTGTTTAATATACCCAGATGAAATACCCGATGACAATAGAGAAACAATAAATAAATTGTATAAATTAATTGAAAATTAATTCCGGAAGTGTTACAATATTAAAATGGAACAATTTTCGGTTATGTTCTATGCAATTAGCATAAAGTTAAGATATGAAGTTAAAAGAATAGTACTTTTAATCTTAAAAATTAAATGTTACATTTCCCAATTAATAATCATTGCACATCTGTTTAATTTACTTTACCGGAATTCTTTAACTTGTATTTAAATCTGGCGATGTTTAAATGCTATAACAATCGTAAAACTATCGCAATTTTAAAGTTTTTAATTGAAAAAATACAACAGTACAACATGCATGATTTTTTTTAATTTTCTTATTAACATTTCATTCTTACATAATTAATTCATTTGACAATCCCTTAGACAAATTATTTGTGAAAAGAATACCAATTATCGTTTATTTCATTAATGAATATACATACATTATAAATCTAAGCTAATACATTAATTTGTTTGAGGATTTTTTTTAGGATAGCCGTCATTAATCCAAATTAGTAATACAGTTGTTGTAATTAAAGGCATATCTTAGTAATGTATTACTGATATTGACGATTTTAGAACAATTCGTTCCAACCTCGTTGTTCTTGAAAAAATCTTTACTAGTATCCTTGTAAGTTTCCTGACGTATATGCGCCATTGAGGATGAGCTCCAGAGATAGCAGACTAGTAGCGTATTTGTTTGTTGGGGCAGGAGAGGCCATGCAACCACTTGTACAGATAAACAAGCTTATGTTGTCAACACTACCAGAAAGAGTTCCCATCGTCGGATGGGGTATATGAAGGTTCCAAGAATGAACTATTGACATGTCTGACTCTGAACAGTTAGTAAACGGACTTAACAATGATTTATAGACATCGATCGTTTGTTTTTGATATTTGAAACTGCATGCATATATACGTTTATGAGAGTGATTATTTATCTTGTGACTGACGAAAACTAAATGCCTGCATGGTTATATCTTGCCATACGTTTGTGTTGGTTTGGTGGGTGTTCACTCAAAATCGTAATTCAAAAATTGTGTTTGTGAGATGTAGATTCACTTCAATACCGAATTTCGTCTATATATTTCACAAGTGTATACCACGGAAAAGATCTGAAGGTATATTACTCCCATTTTGTTTGGGTGTGAACCATCGATGTTTACAGCAATATTTAATGAATAAGATGATGATGGTAGAAAGAACTATGAGCGTCATGTGGCAAATATTACATGCATGTCGGACCATGAGTTGTCAATCTGTATGAAAAGATTTCCAATACAACCATATTGAGTAGGAATTTTTACATGCTATACTCTCGTACTAGTATTACAGGGTTCTTGTGTCGTTTAACTCGGACACACATCTCTTACTTTAAGATGTATGAAAGGTTCTAAATATATATATATATCTTAAATGTAACAATAATCAAACGCCTATAGGCAATCACTAAAATGGTATGAAGTTTTTATACAGATTTATTCTAATTTACACAATCATTAACAAACTAAATAAATTTAACAAAGTAACACCGTGACACTACGATATAACAAATGGGATACTAATTATTTTTAACCATGCTATGCAGAAACTTTACACATCAAGCAGGAACATATATATTAATATACTGTTCCCAGCATCAAGTTAGTGCACGTGAATACCAATTAGGTACACGATGTGTGATTTTGTATAACTAAAAATATCAAAGCGAGCAATAACTTTGTCAAGCAAACATTTTTTTTCACCATGCCTCTCTTTATCTCCGCTCCTTTTCAATAACTATTTCGCTTTTCGTCGATCATTCTCTATATTGTTCTCTATTCGGTTATTTTTTTTTCACTATGCCACTCTATCTCCGCTCCTTTTTCCCATGTCGTCCTAATCCTAATAAAGATATAGACATTAGACATAGAAGGGGCTCTCTTATCTTCAATGAATTAATATTGATAGTGACTATAAGTGCTGCATTACTTTATATATCTGCATGTTTGCCAATCGACAAAAGCTTGTATTTGCGTGAAGAATTTTTTTTCTCAAAAATATGGTCCAGAATCATGACAAAACAATATTCATTTCAAATGTTCAAAGGTCATGTTTATAATTATTTTAAACTTATTATCAGCAAAAATAGTGGATAATATTATTATCAGAACATCATTCATTAAAAGGTGGAATTATAATTTCAAACACACACAAGATAAACAACGTTAGACACAAATATATGGTTCAATAAATGTTACCTGTGCACACCGGGTACCTCAATAAAGAGGCCATGCATGAACCTGTATTATATAATTGTGTAATACGAATTTTTAGTTGACAGGATGTCACTGGAATACCCAGGGACGTGTATCTAATATACGTCCTTGGAATACCTAATCCTTATAAAGATAGAGACATTAGACATAGAAGGGGCTCTCTTATCTTCAATGAATTAATATTGATAGTGACTATAAGTGCTGCATTACTTTATATATCTGCATGTTTGCCAATCGACAAAAGAATTTTTTTTTCTCAAAAATATGGTCCAGAATCATGACAAAACAATATTCATTTCAAATGTTCAAAGGTCATGTTTATAATTATTTTAAACTTATCAGCAAAAATAGTGGATAATATTATTATCAGAACATCATTCATTAAAAGGTGGAATTATAATTTCAAACACACACAAGATAAACAACGTTAGACACAAATATATGGTTCAATAAATGTTACCTGTGCACACCGGGTACCTCAATAAAGAGGCCATGCATGAACCTGTATTATATAATTGTGTAATACGAATTTTTAGTTGACAGGATGTCACTGGAATACCCAGGGACGTGTATCTAATATACGTCCTTGGAATATATGGTTCAATAAATGTTACCTGTGCACACCGGGTACCTCAATAAAGAGGCCATGCATGAACCTGTATTATATAATTGTGTAATACGAATTTTTAGTTGACAGGATGTCACTGGAATACCCAGGGACGTGTATCTAATATACGTCCTTGGAATACCTAACTGAATGTGTCGCTCTGACACGACATCTATCAATAATTCTGACATACCTATTATCAATTCGGGAGGAAGCCAAAATATATATATAATAAGATAACGTAAATATAATTTAAAAAGAAAAAAAACTATAAATTTTTCACCGAACATACCAGATAGAGTCACACATTTAACTGTAAAGCTAAGTGTCTTTATAAGTGACCGTTCCGAATAGATCCCGTATCAATTTGATATGATTTAAAGATTAGTAAAAAAAAAACCCTTTTAATAAAAAAAATTGAGATGTCCGATATTTCGATATTTACATATCTATAACCTGGGAATATTATACTATATCAACATATTATGTCCCAGCTAAAACCTCTTCCTAACATTGCTCCTTGTCAATAGCCGTTAAATATCATAATTAAATTTTTTTTTATTTTATATCGTATAACTTTATTAATTGAAAAATTATCTTGTCTAACTACGGAACTATTCTTTATACAAATCAATGCACTTTATATAAAAGAGGCATACTAATGAATCTTCTGTAAATCAGTGATTGTTACAAGAACACTGCATTTGTCTTTCTTATAATTGAAACTGTTCTTCCTCATCAAATCTATAATTTTTTTTTTTATTAAAAAAGGATAAATACCATCGAATCTCCCTCGAACCAATATTGTTCAAAATGGTCTTCACACACCAACTTGTGCTTGCTATAGATGCAACTATTTGCTGTTAATCTAAGGTTGTACAACAATGTCTGATACAATTCTTTCATTTTTTGTGGGATTGGGAAAACTATGTAGACTTTTGTCATAACCTTGTCTGACAGAACAACCGTACGCTTGACAAGACATTTGACACTGAATTACCGTCTACGGTAATCCCCAATTGATGATGGGAGTTTTTAACGCACGGTCGGTAAATCCCCGATTCTTTTTGTTCTTTGTGGTTTATAGATATCACGTGACTTTTTAGATCGAACATGCCGACAAGATGGCGATATGTCGAGAACTGATAGTGAATTTCAAAAATCGATTTTGATCTCTTTACATAGAGAATAAAAGTTTTTTATTTATGAACATGTGGTTTTTTATGCTTAAAGAAAAAAATTTCAATTTTTCATTTTTTTGCGGAGTTTCCCTTTAAAGGGAAAGTCCGCGATTTTTTACTTATCGTCTAAATATGTTCATCTTAACATAAAAAACACATTCACAAAGTTTAAAATTTATATTCTTTCTAATAACGGAGAAAATCAAGTATTTGTAACTTTTTTGGTTGACCTACGTCACTGGGTTGTGACGTTTTAACCCGATTTGTTGAATCATGGGAAAAAATAAAATCTGTTAAAGTCTTGATTGCTTATCAGAATTTTACGTAATTAAAAGCGCACAGATGACCGTTGGTCGTAGTTAATAACCACAATATAAGAATGAAAGAAAATGAATATGTGTGTACCGTTTTGTATTGATTGAATAAAACTTCCTATATGAAGTTATCTAAATATAAATATTTTCGAATTAATTTCATAAATTATTGAGATTTTTTCATAAAATATCTATAGAACATTTTTACTGATATTGAACTGAAAATATTTGAAGTTTTATTTACCGTTATAACTTTGATAACCATTTCAATGCAAAATATTTGTGAACAGAGTGTGTCTATTATTTTGTAAAGTCATTGTTTATTTCTCGATTTGAGGAGAATTCGTTTGAACTTTACCTTGCAGCAATTTAGCCTCAGGCGTACACAGGTGTGAATTCAAGCGTACACAGGTGTGAATATTGTCATTTTGAATGGATTAACGGAAAGAGTATAGCGTGTTTAATATACCCAGATGAAATACCCGATGACAATAGAGAAACAATAATTAAATTGTATAAATTAATTGAAAATTAACATTCAACTTTTTAATTCCGGAAGTGTTACAATATTAAAATGGAACAATTTTCGGTTACGTTCTATGCAATTAGCATAAAGTTAAGATATGAAGTTAAAAGAATAGTACTTTTAATCTTAAAAATTAAATGTTACATCTCCAAATTAATAATCATTGCACATCTGCTTAATTTACTTAACCGGAATTCTTTAACTTGTATTTAAATCTGGCGATGTTTAAATGCTAACAATCGTAAAACTATCGCAATTTTAAAGTTTTTAATTGAAAAAATACAACAGTACAACATGCATGATTTTTTTTAATTTTCTTATTAACATTTCATCCTTGCATAATTAAATTCATTTGACAATCACTTAGACAAATTATTTGTGAAAAGAATACCAATTATCGTTTATCTCATTAATGAATATACATACATTATAAATCTAAGCTAATACATTAATTTGTTTGAGGATTTTTTTTTAGGATAGCCGTCATTAATCCAAATTAGTAATACAGTTGTTGTAATTAAAGGCACATCTTAGTAATGTATTACTGATATTGACGATTTTAGAACAGTTCGTCCCAACCTCGTTGTTCTTGAAACAATCTTTACTAGTATACTTGTAAGTTTCCTGACGTATAAGCGCCATTGAGGATGAGCTCCAGAGATAGCAGACTAGTAGCGTATTTGTTTGTTGGGGCAGGAGAGGCCATGCAACCACTTGTACAGATACACGAACTTATGTTGTCAACACTATCAGAAAGAGTTCCCATCGTCGGATGGGGTATATGAAGGTTCCAAGAATGAACTATTGACATGTCTGACTCTGAACAGTTAGTAAACGGACTTGACAATGATCTATAGACATCGACCGCTTGTTCTTGATATTTGAAACTGCATGCATATATACGTTTATGAGAGTGATTATTTATCTTGTGTCTGACGAAAGCTAAATGCCTGCATGGTTATACTTGCCATACGTTTGTATTGGTTTGGTGGGTGTTCACTCAAAATCGTAATTCAAAAATTGTTTTTGTGAGATGTAGATTCACTTCAATACCGAATTTCGTCTATATATTTCACAAGTGTATACCAAGGAGAAGATCTGAAGGTATATTACTCCCATTTTGTTTGGGTGTGAACCATCGATGTTTACAGCAATATTTAATGAATAAGATGATGATGGTAGAAAGAACTATGAGCGTCATGTGGCAAATATTACATGCATGTCGGACCATGAGTTGTCAATCTGTATGAAAAGATTTCCAATACAACCATATTGAGTAGGAATTTTTACATGCTATACTCTCGTACTAGTATTACAGGGTTCTCAGACACACATCTTTACACTTCAGCACATCATGAATATTATTTTTAAAATTTCATGATGACAATCCTATGAATTAATTATAATATTAATTTTTAGTAATTATTATTGCCTAAATTCAGTCATCTGTACATAATTAAATGCTTCCTTATGTTCTAAGGTGTATATAGTTGCTACAATACCCTATGGGTAGTGCTCCACAATTAATGGAGGAATATACAAGAAACTGAACTGAACTGATCAATGTAATCAACCCAGTCAACTGTATCTTCATATAATGAACAGAGCACGATCGTATCGATCGTATTAAATCGATACGATTGTGCCACGGTTGATCAATGTAATCAACCCAGTCAACTGTATCTTCATATTATTCTGGTGTAACCCCAGTTTCTGTGTACAGATTAAATAAGATTTACAATAATTGTTTACATTCTTGCATCTTTTTGGATAGTTGTATCATTGGCAATCATACCACATCTCCTTATTTGTATATTATTATCAGTAATATACAGGAATTATATCAAATATACAAAAAACTCAAAAACATGTATATTTACAGTTGATTGGAACCCAAAAATTATTTAAATTTTTAAATTTTAATTGTTTTGTACATTAATGGATCTGTAATTGGCAAGTATTCAACACGGTTGATCAATATAATCAATTCAATCAACTTATCTTCATATTATAAACGATGGTATCAGATTAATCAACACACTTCAGTCAATTCTGTTTTGTGTAAGACAACTGTACGGCAAGAAACCAAGGACACAGCCTACAGAATTACATGGCATATTTGATACAGCCATACCATAATCATAACTCTATCTAACTCTATCCCTGACATAACTCTAACCCATGGACACAGAGTACGGCACTATAGGTTGCACATTGACATAGCCTACGGCACAAGAAGGCAAACTGACACAGACTACGACACAAGAAGGCACATTAACATACCCTACGGTGTTAGGTGGCACATTGACACAGCCTACGGCACTAAATGGCATATTTTATATAGCCTGACCCTTACGTAACAAAGGGATAAACAAAAATCACGTATCTATTTTTTTTCAGATTTCATTGCCAACTGATTGTTAGTCCCCTACCAACATCGCTAAAGGGGACTATGTCCGTCCATCCTTCCGTTTGTCCATCTGTCACACACAGTCTGTTTTCCGGACTTTTGTCTAAACGCTTGCAGATATTAAATTATTATTAAGTATGTGAGTGTACCTTGATAGGTTATCAGTTTTCCTAACTTTTTAAGCAATTGCTTTCAGATATTTGAATTATGTTTGGTATGTCAGTGCACATATCAATTTTTAGTTTCATGCTGATTGGAATAATGTTTGGTGATTTATGCCTTTTAAAATTGCATGATCCAAAAACCGGTAGCAGACATTGTATTGCCCCCTCAATACTCATTCACTTGTTGTTAATGACTCGCTTCTGGGCGTCTTCAATGATGCAGTTGTGACGCTGGCGACTTTAGTGAAGAATTCCGCTCAAACCGGTGCTAGGGACCGTCTTTAAACTGGGATTGAGGTGAGAATGTTTTTCTCGGTGTTGAAAATAATTCAAGATATAGAGCAACAATAAAAGCGCTGTTCCTGTTGAACATTTTGCGATTTTGTGTCCTGGCTATGTCCTGGAGGTCGTAGAAATTGTCAACGTGCTTGAGGTGTATATATATAGTATAACTAATCATGTTGAATCGTTATCGATCGTACTGATAGTTACCATAAACAAATTGGGTTGATTGATTCGACATATAACGTTCAATCGTTATCGATCGTATCTATCGTTACGATCGAGTCTTCATCATAATCAAATTGAGTTGATTGAATCGACAAACGATGTTATAATAATAATAATAATAATAATATCTTTATCTAGAGAGAGTAACTCATTTGGATTACACCAATTTTCAATAAGGCTCTCTTAATACAATAATAATTACATTAAAATAAACAATACATATTCAATAATAATGATAAATAAAGATGTAATACAATTAAAATACAATAAACAATTATTATATATGGCATTACAGTACAAATATCATGGTAATGTTAAAAGTACATAGATTTGTAGTTATGTTTAAATTCTAATACTGTGTTTGATTTTTTAATTGAATTAGGAAGAGCATTCCATACTTTTGGTCCATTGTACGAGAAACTAGACTTATACAACTCTGTATTTGGTTTTGGAATTATAAAATTATCTGAGGACGAAAATCTCGTATTGTATTTTTGGTTTGCAGAAGCTGATAAAATAAGACTGGACATATATTCTGGACCTAAGCCATGTTTTGCCTTATACATTAGTAATGATTTATGATAATGTATTCTTTGTGTAATCGGCACAATGTTACATTCGTGAAATAATTCGCTTGAAGGTTTGGTGTAATCATGTTCGTCTAAAATTATTCTTGCTGCTCTCTTTTGCAGTTTTAGTAAACTATCTAATAGAAAGTTATCAATGGTTATCGATCGTATCGATCGTTACGATCGAGTAGTGGTAATAACCAAACTGTGAAGGTTGATTCGACAGCTGGTGTTAAATCGTTATCGATAGTTACGATCGAGAATTCATCTTAAACAAATTGGGTTGATTGATTCAACATACATGACGTTCAATCGTTATCGATCGTATCTATCGTTACGATGGAGTCTTCATCATTAATAAATAGAGTTGATTGATTCGACAAATGTTTTTCAATTATTATCGATCGTATCTTTCGTTACGATTGAGTGATCATCATAAACAAATTAAGTTGATTGATACAACAAACGATGGTAATCAGTTGAGTTGATTGATCCAACAAATGCTATTCAATCGTTACCGATCGTCTGGTTCGTTAAAGATTTGTTGAATTAATCGATCGTTAAGTTGTCTATTCAATACAAACTTTTTAATTGAATTGACTTTAAAAATGCAGGAAAAATCAACTGTTGTCGAATTAGTCGATTGTCGAATACTGTACCTTAATGTACTTTGCCACAAGCAAAATGAAAGATTTGAACTGGGACTATAATAGTCCCAGATTTGAAGGACAATTCTTAAACTTGTTAGGTTTATAAATAATGTTACTTAAAAAAAGTACCAATTTCAATTTAATTCCTGTAGATTAAAAAGTACTTCCACGACAATTTTTTTGTTTTAGTATGATAAAATTTAGTAAAAGTTAGGACCAATTCATGATATCTATTTCCCTGTTGTAAACGTTTTAGTAATGAAAATATTAAGTTAATAGAAATCCGAGACGTCACTTACCTACAAACACTCGCTTATTGAGAAATGTATACTCCACAAGAAAGATTCAATACGGAGCATCACCATGATCAAGGAAAGAATCGAAGCTTAGCAATAGGAAAGGAGTCTTCTCGTCAGTTATCATACATTTTGGTATAGAGATTACTACGAGAAAATATAAAATCAAGGTATAAAAAGGACATTGGACAATGGTGTAGATCGAAAGTTATGGTGGATAACTGAGACTACTAAAGTAGTTTCGATTAAACTACTAAAGTAGTCTCGAGTACAGAAGAAATCATAACCGGGTCGGATCATAAGCAGAGACAGATATGTAGACACTGCAAAAATAAATTATTTTTGAAATACAAGGGGCAATTCCATTCACGCAATAGTCAAGACAGAGACATATATTACAAATTTGTTTTGTTTTTATTTCTCTGGTCCCGGGGTAAATATTTTAAAGAAGAGGTGTATAATTCCGCGAATTCGTACAAACCTACTTCCGCATTTGTTAGTAATATAGAATGCTCAATCTACGAAGGGAGACAAATGTGGTTGAAAAGCTAAATTTGTCATGACTTAGTATTTTTTTGTAAACATATGCTTAATTTTAGATTAATTGTACCAAGAATAAGCAGGTTTCTTGGCAAATCCAATATACGAAACAGTAGTTTATCACACAGGTATACAGTATGACACATGCAAATCATGTCAGAGCTCCAGATAAGCTGCGTATTTGCGTGATCACGCAATACAAATAATTAAAAACCCAATGCAATTGCCCATTGCAGGGTTCAATAACCCAATTAATTCAAAGGAAACCCAATTATATGCCAAAACCATGAGTTCTTAACGCTTTTATTCGCTATCGTTTGCGTTTTTTACCCTTATCTGAATACAGTCGTTGCGTAAATCTATTTTTATAATATTTATAATTGGAAATGTCCTTTCGTTCTTAAAATAGAGCCCTGTTATCAAGTAGCTGTAATGGGTCCCTGTTGGAATTTTCCGTTGCTCAAAAGGTACACGTGTTTATGAAAACATTTCGATCTTCTCGAAGTTTATCCAATAAGCGTGTGACATGCTGTCATATTTTTTCGAATTGCTCGGGATTTGTCATAACATACATGAATTAAAACGAAAGTAAATGTCCGATAAAAATATTGAATATAAGCATGTTTTCGGCTTCTTTTTGATAGCTGAGGGAAAGTTATGATGATAACAAGAAACAGCTAGTGACTTTAGGAAGCGTCCATTGAACGCACGGGCGTGTTTGAGTACCTTAACGAGAACATTGCTATAGATCGATAAACACGGGGTTTTGTCAAAAACGAAATCAGTTGGAAAAATTGAAAGGCCAAATCAATTATGACATGATATGTAGTTGGAAAGCATCGGAAACCAAAAGTTCTGATAAGGGACAACTTAACCCAGATTTATGTAAATTGAATTAAACAAAAACAGTTTATATATTATTTTTTTTCATTTTAGTTCATGAATGAATACACATATCCGTTTTTTACGTCAAATTATGCAGCTTGACACTTTCTTTGTTTTGATCTAATTGTTCTGGATGCTTAAGATAGTTGTCTTATTGGCAAGTGCAGTATAACATTGTCATTTATTTACTTGATGTTGCAGAATTATTTGTAAATTTAAGTTGAATGTGGTCTCCATCATTAAACCACCCTATAAATCTCAAGGTTTTGGGGTATATCTTAAATCTGGGAACAACTTTTTATTTTTATTAAAAAGTAGATCTGGCAAATAGGTGAAAGGACTGGCAAAACTTTCTTCACATATATTACATAAAAATCTAAACACTTAGCCACACCTACCCCAACTATAAACTGTAGGGTGATCATATGGGATCTAGAAAGGCAATTAGTTACTGTCCAACTAGTGACACCAGCTGCAGTTTACATAAGTTTTGAGAAAATACAAAACTGACAGAACGTTTAAAACGGGACACAAATTAAACGTACAATTGCTCGTCAGTGAATAAACCAAATAAAACAGCTAAGCACATATACAAAGAAAGAAACACATTTAAGATGGAAACACATCTGGGGTTGATATAATGTGATTATAACATGCCTAAATTTTCAATATTGTGTTGATGAAAAAACCCAATACATTAAGGAGCTTGGTGGTGAAAAACCCAATTTGATATTTGCTTGAGGGGTGAATTGGAATTGATAATGCAATTAAAAAACTTTATCACCCAATTACATAAAAAAATGGTGGGTAAAAACCCCAATTTGTGAATTCTTATCTGGAGCTCTGCATGTTAAAAAGACGTCGTCTGTTTCTGTCAAAATCATATTTTTTGTTCACAAGTAGACTAGTGTCACTAGTATAAAATCTACAATTGCACACATGACATCCGTCAAAATTTTTTACCAAATTAAATAAAATATGACATAAATTGGCCATAATCTAGTGAAATTTGTCACACGCATCTCCTTGACAGTACTCCAGTCAGAGATTAGATAGTTGAAATTATGTAATTCTGTACACAGACACAGTGCTGCCAGCTATTTAAACAAAATGACTTTGAGTTATTGTGAATAATAATGGAATAACTTTACTCTTAAAAAGACTTTCTTTTGTATGTTACATACATATTGACAAATGATTGTACCAAATTTCATAAATTGTACTAGAAGATGACCACCCCCCTTTTTACACAAAGTAAAGTGGAGGATGATTCAAAGCTCCTGTCAGAATCAGCATCATTATGCATAGCCTACATCTATGAAAATTTGTCCAATGGCATATATTAATTGAAGACCTATCCATGGGAAGAAACTTTAAGGGTCTGAATTTTTCATTTTATTCTAAAACAAATTCTGTTGCTTCAAGGTTTATTATCCTTTCTCACTGTCCTTTCTGTAGGCCTGCTAGTGTGTATTACGAAGTTTTCAATGTGTATTAATATTGAAACAGAAAAAGTACTGATTAAAAGAGAAGTGCCATTATGTACATATATCAAAGGGAAATGTCTTTCACAGGAATTATATTTATTGTCTCATTGCAATTAATAGTAAATGTGGATTTTGTGGCTCCTCAAGCCAAGATTCTTACAGAAAATCCCCAGACTTTATTACATTGATTTTTGTTAAAACATTTTAAACATAGATGTCTTACTTGTTTGTTCATGTTGTGCTAGTCTAAATTGTTTTCAAAAAATCATAAACAACCTTTTCAATCCAAAAAACATTGTGCTGATTCACAAAAGTCAAGCCCACACTAGAAGGTGTACTTGAATATGTCCATATTTGTAGTTGTTTTAGTTAATATCTTTATTTAAAAACAAGTTTTAAGGAAATCATTGCTAGCACTGCATGCAGAAATCCACTTTCTATAATGTACATAATTGTTCAATATAAGAGTAAAAGGGGAAAGAAAGCCTGTGGATTTTTTAAAAAATTTCCATACATGTATGTTTAGCATTGAAACAACAAAAGGGTACATAATCCTTAAACTAACAAAATATGTTTTTTGAAGTAAAGACTTTGCTAACAGTTGTTTCTAACCTCCCTTTTAACTAATTTGAAGGTTTCATGCCATAAATTTCAAATGACACATTTGTAATCAAATACATGAACAAAATGTGTACCTAGGCTACTATGAAGATCTCAAAGCTGCAGATTCTTCTGCTTGGCTGTACTTTTACAGTATCAAAAAGTCTCATAATTTTCAGTTATTTTTCTTTCTTTCAAATGATTCAATGACATCCCTGATGTAAATAATTATAAATATTGTGTCATGCATATAGTCTGATGTTTTAGACACAAACATCAGTGTAGGAATTCGCACTACACATGTAGCTTGTACAATTATTTTCTTATGACAAAATATACTCTTTTGTACTATAGTGGCAACTGTGTATGTAATTAACCATTTATGTTGGCATATGTCACTTTATCAGTTCAATAGTAAATCTGATTCCATACTTTTTTATGTACATGTAGTGGTTAATTTGGAAAATATTTGCATAAGTTGTTGTCCTGTGATTTTCTATTTTTGTAGTTTAGGGACAAGACTCCAATAGTCAGAGAGTTTTATATTTAATTTCTTGCATGCCAATTCAGTCCAAAACCAATGTGATGGCAAAGAGTTCCTCTGTCCATAAGAATTTTAATTTTTCTTTTAGATACTGGCTGCTTTAAATCGGTTTGTGCAGCTCAGCATGGTCCTTGATTTGTTAAACATCATCAATCTGTAATTGCTACTGCTATTGATAATAGGAATTTTGTTAGGAATCAGCTCTTTACCTAAAATTTCTTGCTTTTTATGCCCCACCTACGATAGTAGAGTGGGGCATCCGTGTACTATGAACACATTCTTGTTTAGTACTATTCATCAGAAGTTTTGTTGTTCAAGAGTTTTTACAAACATGTATCTGCAATTCTGTATTTGGGATTTTCGTCCTGGCCACTATCGTAATCCCTTGAGAGAATTCCTTATCTTGCCTTTGCATTGGTCTTTTTTTTTTATCATTAATAAAACAACATTTGTTTTTTTAGTTTGCCTGCAGTGACATTGGGAGGTGAACTTGGTTCTCAATAAGGACTGCCTTTTTTGCATATGTCCAGGAATTTGTTATTTTGGCTTTACATCATGTACATTGTAAGACCCAAATTTTGAAGAAAAACAAGGACAGTGAAGGTTTATGTTGAATTCATCATTTATTTAATTACGTAAAAGGGAATGTGGGATATACAGCAATCCAACAACACAAAAACACAAAAAGCATCTCGTCTTCCAGACAAATCAGAATGTCATATATTCAAATTAAGGTTATTATGATCAACTTTTATTATGCGATGATGATGATATTGACCTAACTGAAAAAATCAGGAGGATGTATTATAGGATTTAAACTACTGTATAATGTACTGTAATGTTGTTAATTTCATGATTTCTAGGGCCTAACCTTTGTGTGAGGTTTTATTTTCATGTTTTGCTTGTTCTTGATTCTAACTTAATTGTCCCTACCTATTATATTTATTGTTAATTTTGTTCTTGTCCTGAAAATGCATGAAATATTTGCCACTGGATGCAAAGCAACCAACAATCAATCAATCTAATAGACACAAATGTATATTTTATGGATTTTATGTGAATCACTTAATAAGCATGGAAATAAAAATCAACATGTAAATTTCCCACTAGACAGTACTTAGAAAAATTATGAATCAAACTTGATTGTAGGACTCATGAACTCGTCTTATTGGGAACCCCTAAGTCTTATGATTTCATGCCATAAAAACATGAAACTTCGCTTTTTGCAGTCTCCATAGTTTAAATTTCTATTAATATTTATCATTAAAGATTCACTTCTACAATGGCAAGCCAATACATAAAAAGCAAAATCAACTCAGATGCCATCTTGAAATCTGCAGAAGATAAAAGAGCATATGAAGGATTAGAACTAAAAAATGGGATGAAAGTGTTATTAATCAGTGATCCTGAAACAGACAAGGCTTCAGGAGCTATGGATGTAAATATTGGTGAGGATTTAATATTGAGACTAAAAATGAAACTACCACTTGAAAATACATGACATTTTTGCCACTGGATTTTTTTCAAACAATAATCAGTCATGGATATACAGGGGTTTCATTATCTTTTATGTTCAGTTGACTGGTACTTTTCCCATTTGTAGGTGGTACTTTTCAATATAATCCATGTATACCTTATGTTATAATTCCTAAATTCAGGCAGTGCTTATCAGTAGAATAGAAAGGTAAAAGCACCCTGTAGTGCCTCCTAATGAATGGCCTAGATATATAGGTGGAACTGGCTGATGTGTATTGTAAATGATACACATGCCACCTACAGCTAATTATGAATAATTTGCCAAAGTTGTAACATTCAAAATATTTTCTGCAAGAAATTCAAGGTAAATGTGAAAATGTTGAAAACATCATCTAAAACATGAATGATTCAAAACAAAAATTTTAACCATTTACAAACAGTCATTGTACCTCTAGTACTGAGATGGCTTAAACATGAAGATTCAATCTATACAATAGAATTTGAAATACCAGCTGACTCATCCACTTGTCCATGACTGGTAAACTTTGTATAGGATAAGCTAGTTTTGTTGGGAAAATATGTAGAATAAAGTTTTCTGAGGATTATGTAGTATTTTATATGGAGCTTCAAATCCTGTGCTACAAGGCAACATTTTTAGTTGTTTTTTGCTTATTGTTCAATTAACGCACCTGGCTTTACTTCTGATTTTTAATGTTTTATATATATCTTGAAATTAGTTTATTTCAATATTAACTTGAGAAGCATCCATCAACTCATTTTAAATTTGAATATGTTGTAAGGGACCAATACTCGCAGATCCAGTCCAAATATAATCCATTTATCTTTTATCTTTCCAGAGTTATAGATATAAGAAGATGTGGTATGAGTGCCAATGAGACAACTCTCCATCCAAGTCAAAATTTATAAAAGTAAACCATTATAGGTCAAAGTACAGTCTTCAACACGGAGCCTTGGCTCACACCGAACAGCAAGCTATAAAGGGCCCCAAAAATTACTAGTGTAAAACCATTCAAACGGGGAAACCAACGGTCTAATCTATATAAAAAACGAGAAACAAGAAACACTTATGAACCACATCAACAAACGACAATTACTGAACATCAGATTCCTTAACACAGTAATAAAAAGGCAATCTTTTGGTTTCAACAGACATTTTGAGTTAACATCCTCTAAATTTTTTGAAATTTTGAAATGTTGTTATGACATAAATCACAAATTATATTTGAATTTGACTGATTTCACTTTTGTCTTTTTGATAAAACACAAAATAGCCAAAATTTTGATTCACAGACATGTACAACATCCACTGAACCATTCCCTTTACAATAACTGATGTTACTCCTGTCTGCATTATATACATGTATGTGGGGGTATCTGTGTCTCATATGGACAACTTTTTTTTTAGTTATTGTTACTTTAACATTTACTTTTCAAGGTTGTCAGTTGTTTACTTGTCATGTGTACATATTTATCTGTTAAATGTGTATTTGTATTTTTTTGGGGTTGTTCTTGTATTGTGTTGTGAATTTTTATAATTTTTTCGTGTAACATTGTGGCCTCAGTACTCTTCTACTCTTGAAATCTACCTATAACAATATGCGTTTCCTGAAATATTGTTATTAATTCTATTCAACAAATTACGTTTAAGGACACATGAAAGATCCGGTAGAACTGCCTGGGTTGGCACATTTTTGTGAACACATGCTGTTTTTGGGAACTAAAAAGGTATGATTACTTTTAATTTATTTTAATTTCACTCATTTCTGGAAAATTTCGATGTTTTAGCTTTTTGATTTCAGTGATTCATCATTCTGTATTAACAGAGAAGCTATGTATCAAAATTGATAATCCTGTTCTAATAAGACATTCATATGATATAAAATTGGAAACTTGTAATCTGGAAGAATGTTAAAACAAATCTGATACCTTTCTTTATGGGATGACTGTAATATTTTTTCTGTCTATGAAGAAAGAACATAAAATATGTGGTGCACACTGAATAACCTGCATTGGTGGTTATTTAAAAGTGCACCTCATTTTTGATGTTATATCGAAATGACAGAAAAAATGTTACAGTCATTCCTTATAATTTAATTCTAAATTCCATTTTTAAGGAGTAAATCATGAAAAAAACATTGATGACGTCACGATCACATGACAAAATTATGTCTATGAGCTGAGAGACAAAAAACTTTCAGCCAAACAAGTTACATCCAAAAATAAATTATTAATACATGTACCTGTAAAAATACATGTCTGATGCATACATAAATATAGGTATTATAATGAATTGTTCAAATTATATTTTTATGTTTGCCAAGAGATGTGAATTTCCTTAAGATAAGCTATAAAGTTTAAATCTCTCATTTGGTTTATTGATTACATAGTACATAGTGGTATTTCTTAAGGTGTATTTTTATACGGCCGCAAAAAAATTTTGTGGTCGTATATTGGTATGACGTTGGCGTCGTCGTCGTCGTCGTCCGTCGTCGTCGTCGTCCGGCGTCGTCGTCGTCCGGCGTCGTCGTCCGAATACACATTGGTTTTCGCACTCTAACTTTAGTTTAAGTGAATGGATCTTTTTGAAATTTGACCATAAGGTTAAATACCACAAAAGGAAGGTTGGGATTGATTTTGGGGGTTATGGTACCAACAGTTAAGGAATTAGGGGCCAAAAAGGGGCCAAAAATGAGCATTTTCTAGTTTCCAGACAATAACTGTGGAACGGTGTATGGACCTCTCTGAAATTATACTACAAGTTTCCATACCACAAAGGGATGGTTAGGATTTGCTTTGGGGGGTTATGGCTCAAACTGTTTAGGAATTAGGGGCAAAAAAGGGGGGAAAACAAGGTTGTCCTGGTTAATGGACAAATACTTTAGTACAAAACATAATTTAAAGCAGTGTAAGGGAGATAAATCAAATACATCATTGAAATTATCTCCCTTACACTGCTTTTAAATTATGTATAAAGTAATGGTTAATGAACAATAAAGATAATCTAAAACAGTGTAAGGGAGGTAATCCAAATACAACGTTTTGGTTACTTCCCTTACACTGCTTTTAAATTATGTTTAAAGAAATGCATATTTATAAAGGAAGACCAGTAAAAATATCTGCAAATGTTGCATCTTTTTTTTTTACAAAAAAATCCATATGAAAGATTTGACACTATATTTTTATTAATTCTATTATAAAATAGATTAAGTTAGCACTATGGTAAATTTAAATGGGTAATTATGGTTGCCAACTCCATTGGAAATTTGAATTGAGATTATGACCATATCTTGAGGGAAAGAATTTTTTTGGGGGAAAAAGGGGGGGGGGGGATAAAAAGAAAATGTGGGGGGCCAATTTTTTCTCATTTCAGATTTCAGAAATTAAAAAGAATTATTCTTCAAATATTATTTTTTTTTCAAATTTCAAATATTGAAAAATTTCAAGAAGTAATCTTTAATTGCACAGTATGGCGCATTAGATTTGTAAAATCTTTGATCACATTTATTTATTTGTTATGCCGAATCTAACAGTGTATTTAGATTTTTAATTTTGGGTCCAGTTTTCAAATTGGTCTACATTAAGGTCCAAAGGGTCCAAAATTAAACTTTGTTTGATTTTAGCAAAAATTGAATATATAAGGTTCTTTGATATGCTGAATCTAAACATGTATTTAGATTTTTGATTTTTGGCCCAGTTTTCAAATTGGTCTACATTAAGGTCCAAAGGGTCCAAAATTAAACTTTGTTTGATTTCAACAAAAATTGAATATATGGGGTTCTTTGATATGCTGAATCTAACCATGTATTTAGATTTTTTATTTGTGGACCCCGTTATCAAATTGGTTCATATTGAGGTCAAAAGGGTCCAAAATTAAACTTTGTTTGATTTCATCTAAAATTGAATTATTGGGGTTCTTTGATATTCCAAATCTAACCGTGTATTTAGATTTTTAATTTTGGGTCCTGTTTTTTAAATTGGTCTACATTAAGGTCCAAAGGGTCCAAAATTAAACTTAGTTTGATTTTAACAAAAATTGAATTCTTGGGGTTCTTTGATATGCTGAATCTAAACATGTGTTTAGATTTTTGATTATGGGCCCAGTTTTCAAGTTGGTCCAAGATAGGGTCCAGTATTTAAACTTTGTTTGATTTCAACAAAAATTGAATATATGGGGTTCTTTGATATGCTGAATCTAAACATGTATTTAGATTTTTGATTATGGGCCCAGTTTTCAAGTTGGTCCAAATTGGGGTCCAAAATTAAACTTTATTTGATTTCAACAAAAATTGAATATATGAGGTTCTTTGATATGCTGAATCTAACCATGTATTTAGATTTTTTATTTGTAGGCCCAGCTATCAAATTGGTTCATATTGAGGTCAAAAGGGTCCAAAATTAAACTTTGTTTGATTTCATCAAATATTGAATTATTGGGGTTCTTTGATATGCCAAATCTAACCGTGTTTTTAGATTTTTAATTTGGGTCCCGTTTTTTAAATTGGTCTTCATTGAGGTCCAAAGGGTCCAAAATTAAACTAAGTTTGATTTCAACAAAAATTGAATTCTTGGGGTTCTTTGATATGCTGAATCTAACCATGTGTTTAGATTTTTGATTATGGGCCCAGTTTTCAAGTTGGTCCAAGTTGGGGTCCAAAATTAAACTTTTTTTGATTTCAACAAAAATTGAATATATGGGGTTCTTTGATATGCTGAATCTAACCATGAATTTAGATTTTTTATTTGTGGGCCCCACTATCAAATTGGTTCATATTCAGGTCAAAAGGGTCCAAAATTAAACTTTGTTTGATTTCATCAAAAATTGAATTATTGGGGTTCTTTGATATTCCAAATCTAACCGTGTATTTAGATTTTTAATTTTAAGTCCCGTTTTGTAAATTGGTCTACATTAAGGTCCAAAGGGTCCAAAATTAAACTTAGTTTGATTTTAGCAAAAATTGAATTCTTGGGGTTCTTTGATATGCTGAATCTAAACATGTGTTTAGATTTTTGATTATGGGCCCAGTTTTCAAGTTTGTCCAAGTTGGGGTCCAAAATTAAACTTTGTTTGATTTTAACAAAAATTGAATATATGGGGTTCTTTGATATGCTGAATCTAACCATGTATTTTGATTTTGGACATTGGACCATAATAGGTAAATTAAAAAAATTCAAGTTCTTAGACCACATTCTTTCTGTGTCAGAAACCTATGCTGTGTCAAATATTTAATAACAATCCAAATTCAGAGCTGTATCAAGCTTGCATGTTGTGTCCATACTTGCCCCAACTGTTCAGGGTTCGACCTCTGCGGTCGTATCAAGCTGCGCCCCAGCGAAGCATTTTATTTAGTTCAGTGTGATTTGTTAAAGTGTTGAATATAATATAATTTGGTTTTTTTTCTCTGTTTTAGTATGAACAGGAGAATGAATACAGTAAGGTGAGTTTAATACAAATATTTTAAGTGAACCACTTATCCTTTTTTTATGTAGACTTAGTTGAAGGCTGTACATGGACCTATAGCTGCTTAAACTTTTTTGACGGGCCATACATTGACATTTGGTCTTCGGTGGAAAGTTGTCTCATTGGCAATTATAACCCATCTTCTTATTTTTCATTTGTATAATCCAGTACAGATATTCTGATTTATCCAGCATGAATTTATTATATTTTTGAGTACAAAAAAAGATAAGACAAATATAAATTTTCTAATTGTTTAAAAAAAAAACTAAACAATTGCAGATATATATATTTCTCTAATTCTTCGTCAATTTATCCCTTTCTGCACCCATTGTATAAAAAAAATTTAATCAACGTGTGGTTTGTTTGATCTCAGTTCTTCATTGGTTAAAATCCGATTATGACGTCGAATTTTCTTGCTTTCCTCTGAATTTCCTATTGTGACGGCATGAAAAAAGGCGACCATGTCTGATGACGTCACATAGAAAGAACACATCTTTTTGCAGATCATTCAAAAAGAAGGAATAAGTTTGCCTGCATATTGTTTGAAAATCATTAGAGAAACAGATTCCACCACCAAATCTCGTGCAATACGATATTATCCACTCTCGACAGTTAAATTTTAAATATTTAATTTGAAAATTTAACTGTCTCAAGTGGATAAATATCGTATCACACTCGATGCAGTGGTAGAATCGATATATATCTGAGTTTAGGAAAATATTTATGGAATAATATTTCATAAAATTTAAGCCTGACCACTCCTTATTTTTTCCAGATAAAACTTTAAGAATAAAATTTTTGCTTTCTGTCTCAAAACTTAAATGGTGAAGTTTTGTACAAGTCTAAAGATTTTGTGAATATGAAATTTGTACTGTCAGGATGAAAAATATCATTTTGGTTATTGTGTTTTAATGTATGACTTCTTATGTCAATGAAATATGAATAATTGGTGTATCTGAATTTTATCTGTTGTAGTTCCTAAGTGAACATGGAGGAAGTTCTAATGCTTACACTTCAGGAGAACATACCAACTTTTATTTTGACATATCACCTGAACATTTACCTGGAGCTTTTGATAGGTAGGCTTTCATATTGACATATCACCAGAACATTTACCGGTAGCATTAGACAGGTAGGCTTTTATTATTACATATCAACAGAACATTTATTGGGAGCATTAGACAGGTAGGCTTTTATTATTACATATCACCTGAACATTTACCGGGAGCATTAGACAGGTAGGTTTTTTTTTGTTATATCGCCAGAACATTTACCAGGAGCATTAGACAGGTAGGCTTTTTTTATTACATATCACCAGAACATTTACCAGGAACATCAGACAGGTAGGCTTTTATTATTACATATCACCAGAACTTTTACCGGGAGCATTAGACAGGTAGGCTTTTATTATTACATATCACCAGAACTTTTACCAGGAGCAATAGACAGGTAGGCTTTTTTTTGTTATATCACCAGAACATTTACCAGGAACATTAGACAGGTAGGCTTTTATTAAATATATCACCAGAACTTTTACCAGGAGCATTAAACAGGTAGGCTTTTATTATTACATATCACCAGAACATTTACCAGGAGCATTAGACAGATAGGCTTTGATCATAACATATCTCCAGAACTTTTACCAGGAGCATTAGATTAGTTGGCTTTTATTACGACATATCACCAGAGTGTTTTCCTGGATAATTATACATGTAGGCTTTCATTTTGACATATCACCAGAACATTTGCCAGGAGCATTAGAGAGGTAAGTTTTTATTTTGACATATCAACAAAACAATTACAGAAGTAAATGAGGGTATATTGGATAGGGGCAGAAATTTTGCCTTACAACAGGTCACCTACGGACCCCTCATTGAGTTGTTGCAAGGGTTCTTAATGTGCAGAGAGCGTGGCACCCTCTTCACAAAAGGCATTGGATTTAACATCCCCATTCTGACCTGACGTGGCTACGGATTGGTACATCCTGCACAGCCTAATAGACATCCTACTATGGCAAGGGTTTTTTACTGCCAGTCGGAGGAAGACCACAGGTGACAGGTGACAAATTATTTCTATTCCCCAGTCACCCATGGAAGGGGGGGAATTTTTTTTTGACATATCACCAGAACTTTTACCAGGAGCATTATACAGATAGGCTTTTATTTTGAAAATATCACCAGAACATTTACCTGGACCATTAGACAGGTGAGATTAGAATGTTTTGTTACAAATCTAGGTAGATAAGGGCCAAACAGTGTTTTGCTTTTGCGCCAATTGGCATTTCATTGCACCAAATTAAACATTCCATTTGAATCGATAATACAGGTAAATAATATAAATGATAGAATAAGATGTATTGAGCAAAGACTTTTAATAAAAACCACAATGAAAGCAATATACACTGAAGTAAAACTAAAAGTCTGCTATGCCACAAAACTTGTAAGCAATTGTTAGAATGTTCTAAATTTGTCTTTTTCCCATCGTATAAGTGATGACCGGTGTGTCCATAGATCACATTGTTATGTACTTTGTTGCCTGAATATTCTTAATTACGTCCTACTAAATGAAAAAGTATGATTGTTTTGAATTAATTTGTGCATTTTACAAAATCTTAAACTGCATGTGGCGATTCTGGTCCGTTGTTGGTTCTATTTTAGTTGTTGCAGATATGTTACACATGAACATTATACAATTTTAAACTTAAGCCACTCTCAGTTTTGTATTAAAAATGAGTATAAATTCACATAATTACGCAGGGTAAATAACTTTTCCCTTATGTGTTTATACCTGTAAAATTGCGCAAATGTAGTTTTTTGGGGCAAATGAAATATAACCAAGTGGCAAAAATGAATCATTGCATTTTTGAAAAATTGACACAAATGCAAAGTATTGGTCACAGATCTATTTAAGTAAATACATACTTGATTCTTGATTTGAGATCTGATTTACCAACTAACTGATACTTGGTAGCAGGTCTGGGTAAGTAAGCACTGAACTCTTGATCAAATCTAGAAAGTAAATACTGGATTTTTGGTTTAGGAATCTTGTTACTAAAGCACCAATGTTTTTGTTAACAGTCAAGGCTTATAAACATTATTTTCTTTAGGATCTGATTACATCCATTCTTGGTTGTAGGTTTCATTCAATTTATTCCCTAAATTTTTGGATAAAAAAATATATACTCACTAGCTCCTACTACTTTGTAGGTTTTCACAGTTCTTTCTGTGTCCTTTGTTTACGGAGAGTGCAACAGACAGGGAGGTTAATGCAGTCAACTCTGAAAATGATAAAAATTTACAGAGTGATCCTTGGAGAATTCACCAGTTAGAGAAAACCCTTACAGATCCTTCACATGATTATTCTAAATTTGGAACAGGTAAAATTAGATTTATTTTTTTTAATCAATCAATTATACCATTATATTTTAGATACTAGATAGGAAGAAAATTCTTTAATATTATTTAGAAATTCTACAATTAAATTTATTTAGGTGCTTAGACTTAGAATGTAAACTTTACAAAACAAATATTTAAGAAAAAAATGTACAGCATATACATGCAGTTCACTAATCAACAAACATTATCTGTGATAGATGAAGCATTTAGAAACATGATGACTGTATAACGATCATTTTTGTAAAGCAAGACTGTTAAGAAACCTTTGAACACACTATTTGTATGCAGCATTTCCAGAAATCACATTATTTAATAAGTCTCTCATATTTGTTGTTTGATTATCATTTGCAATATTAAATACATGTATATGTTTTTTGAATTTACAGTAGTTAAAGAAAAATCCAATGTTTCAAGAGGAGTTTTATGCCCCAACCTCTAGGCTAAGGGGGCATGAAGGTTTACTCTTGTCTGTCTGTACGTCTGTCCCATGAACACATTCTTCTTTTATTTAAAAAGTTCAACAGACAATATACAATACATATTTTTTGTAACTATGGTTTTAGTAATTATATTACGGTATTTTTTTCAGGTAATAAGGACACTCTTGACACCATTCCAAAATCTAATGGTGTAAATGTAAGGGATGCTTTGCTGAAATTTCACGATGGTTATTATTCTTCAAATATCATGGGACTTTGTGTACTAGGAAAAGGTCAGTAAAATTATACATAAATTTAAAGAGTACAATATGGTAAAATGATCACTTTTCAAAGTTTAAAAAAATCTTTTCTTTCTGTGGAAAAGCCATAAGCTGCAAATTCTTTCTCATGGACTGTGGAATCTTGATTTCATACCTATTTGGTGATGTTTATTTTGCTCATACATTGTTGTCAATATAATGGAATTCTAAGCGACAGTTATACATGTGAGAGGTTTAGCTAGCTATAAAACCAGGTTTAATCCACTATTTTCTACATGAGGAAATGCCTGTACCAAGTCAGGAATATGACAGCTGTTTTCAATTCGTTGGATGTGTTTGAGCTTTTGATTTTGCCATTTGGTAAAGGACTTTCCGTTTTGAATTTTCCATGGAGTTTGGTATTTTTGTTATGTTACTTTTTTTTTTGGATGCAATTTCCAAAAAGTTTAGGTTCGAACAATTAAAATTCTTACAATTTATATTTATTTAGCATACTGTAACTTCAGAAATTTTGGGATGTTTTTATTCTTTAGAAAATTGGGATAAGTGAGCTTTCTAAAAAAATAAAAACTTGCATTTAAAATTTTGATAACATTATTCATATGCAGCTATTTCTGAAATCACAATAATTTATCTGACATTTTTGTCCATTGTTCAACAATCACAATAATAAATGCAACAAAAAATTATTGAATTTAGGGCTATTTCATTAAAATGTATGTGGGAGGGTAGGAAGGGAAGTTTAATTATTGAATGTGGGCCATGGGTCTTTTTTCAGTATGCGTCTATTACCATTATGCAAAATTATCTAAAAAATGGTTCTTGGTTGTAGGGATATTTTGAAAGTCCCTTCCTACCCTCCCACATACATTTTAATGGAATAGCCCTTACAGTATGTGACATAGTGGTTAATCATTTTTGTGTAGCCATGATGAAATGTCCAATATTTCTTTAATTATTAAATCAATATTTGAAAGACTTTAATTTTGATTTGTTTACAATTCCATGGTTGTTAAATCAACTTGTTTCTGTCTAAATTGATGTTATATTTTTTTAGAATCGATTGAAGAATTAACAGAAATGGTAGTTCCTATGATAGCTAATGTAGAAAACACAAATGTTGTAGTTCCTGAATGGAAGGATCATCCTGTTGGTCCTGCACAGATGAAGGTATGTTTTATATCTATGACAAGATCAATTGAATGCATACAAGAAAGTTACTAATATTTGTCCTTATCCAATCATTGTTATGGTTTGAAATGTCCGAGGGCAAAATCATCTTTAACATAGATTTTGGATTTTCATTTTTCTTTCTGATAGAGATTGGATTTTTAAGTTGGAATTTTTGTTGCAGAAGCTTTCATGAATATTCAAATCAGTTGGAAGTATTGTATATAAATGAACAGATTTCAAAGAAGATTTCTCAACTTCTTTCAGTTATGTTATACATCTTTTTTTATGTATTGGATATATAAAATGTAGAACTCATTGGTCGGGTTGTTGTCTCTTTGACACATTCCCCATTTCCATTCTCAATTTTATCATTTATTTTTTGTGGATACCAATTTTCTTGGATTAAGAGAAAATTTGATTTTCTTTGTTTAACAAAAGTCTGCATACAATCCTATGGAAAATTTGTACTTCGTTGAACATTTAAATTCATGGTTTATCTGTACTCATGAAATCCATGAAAAATGGTATCTCGTGAGTAATAATGAATCCACAGTACTTGGAATGTTAGATCTACAGTGATGATGCTTAAATGAAAAGACTGTCTATGAGATAAAATTTCGGGTATGTTATTCTGTTATTGAAAGAAAACCAACAACCTCATTTAAATTTCTCAAAACTTTAGCAGTATCTATAAAGCCAATTACTTCTTAACATAAAAAAGAACTTGGATTTTAAAGATGTTAAAATTAAAAGAGATTCAATGTATTTGACTTGTTCTGTTGACAGAAAATAGCCTATACAGTTCCAGTGAAAGATGTTAGAAATCTCTCCATGTCATGGCCTATAATGGATTTACATCCTTATTTTAAATGTAATGTAAGTATCAATTAAAAATATTTGTTTGCAAGCTAAGCTCTAAGTTAGAAAAAAAAATCAAAAGTTGAGATGGTTTTGAGAGTAAGTATTAACTTTTTTATTTGTTTATGTTTACACAAAAGCATTTTTTCCATTATTGTCAAAGGACTTGGATAAACCTTTTATAGAGGAGTAAGTTTTGCATATCTAAATACATAAGCACTTTAATATAAAAATAAGAAGATGTGGTATGATTGCTAATGAGACAACTCTCTACCAAAGACTAAATGATATAGAAGTCTACAACTATAGGTCACCATATGGCCTTCATAAATGAGCAAAACTCATACTGCATACTTTAAAAGGACATTAGCTACCAGTTATAGAATAGATAAAGATACGATTTTTTTTTGTTCAATCATTAATGAAAGTGAAATAGTAAAATAATAATTCGCTTTTAGCAGACAGTTTGGTTCAATTTTGTCAAAAAATGCTAAGCTATAAAAGGAAAAGAATGTCAAAATTGAAAGTGAAACAGGGGTAAATGATTTGGTTGACTGATTCGATCCACAAAAACTTATTCTTATACAGGTTATAATGATGATTAACATATTTTTTTAACCTACAATATGAAATCAAACAGACCTAGAAAAATCCAATTGCATGTGTTTAGTATCTATTTATATCTATATTTATATTTATATCAGTTTATATGACTGTCGGCAGTCTTCGTAGGTCACCTCAATGGTTAATTAATGGTGTCTAGACTAAAATACACAAGAAATGCTGATACATATTATTGAGTCCATGCAACGTAAATTGTTTATTTTAGACTTTTTAAAATTTGGACATAGGTTTTAGTATGTTATAAACCAAATATGAGAATTTGAGTCAAATTAGTGAACATGAATTTGACATCTAATGCCCTTTTAAGACCACTTTGGATATTCAAATTTCCAATATGCTTCATCTTCAATGTTTTCACTTTTTAAATTTTCTTTTTGACATACTTACATAAATTTTGTTTTAATTTCTTATTCTGAAATGTTTTGTTCCTGGTTTTTGACTTTTTTCTACATTTACAGCCAGGTCATTATCTAGGGCATTTAGTAGGTCATGAAGGAAAAGGAAGTCTGCTGTCTGAACTTAAAAACAGAGGTCAGTATTTATTTCATGTTCTACAAAACGTATTTTATGGTTTCACAATAAAAGGAGAAACAGTGTAAATGAATACAACAACTCATAACAGCTACCCATTGTTCTTTGCTGAATTTTTAAGACACTGTGTAAATAGTTTAGATATAAGGAATATTGGTTACTAAAATTCATTTTAGGTGTTTTTCATACCAACACATGGACTTGGTCATTTCCTCTTATATTAGTTTGTTAATCTACAACTTTCTGAAAATAGTTTGACAGAATTAAGCCAAACTCTCACAAATTCTTCCATAGGGCATGGAGTTGTGCAACTGCTATTTTTATACGCCCGTCAATTTTTGACGGGACGTATTATGTTATACAAATGTCCTGTGTCTGTCCGTCTGTCTGTCCGTCTGTCTGTCCGGCGTAAACATGTCGCACCGTAACTTGAGAATGACTTATCCAAATTTCATGAAACTTAACATAGTTGTTTCTTATGATGGTCAAACGATCTGTATACTTTTTGGTGATAATAAGATTAAAACTTTTTGAGTTACGGGACTTAGTAACTAAAACAGGTGTGTGTTTTTTTTCACATGTCGCACCGTATCTAAAAAACAATTTATGATTATTGCTTAAAACTTTACACACTACTTAATTATATTAATCTTAAGATCTGTATACTTTTTGGTGATGATTCAAAATTTTATTTTAGAGATATTGAGTATTTTGTTAAAAAAGGGGGAGGGGTTTTTCACATGTCGCGCCGTATCTCAAAAACAGTTTATGATTATTGCTTAAAACTTTACACACTTCTTAGTTATATTAACCTTTAGATCTGTATACTTTTTGGTGATGATTCAAAATTTTATTTTTGAGTTATTGAGTATTTTGTAAAAAAAGGGGAGGGGTTTTTCACATGTCGTGCCGTATCTCAAAAACAATTTATGATTATTGCTTAAAATTTTACACACTTCTTAGTTATATTAATCTAAATTTCTGTATACTTTTTGGTTTTGATTCAAAATTTTATTTTTGAGATATTGATTTTTTTTTTTTTAAAAGGGGGGTTTTCACATGTTGCGCCGTATCTCAAAAACGATTTATGATTATTGCTTAAAATTTTACACACTTCTTAGTTATATTAATCTAAAGATCTGTATACTTTTGGTTTTGATTCAAAATTTTATTTTAGAGATATTGAGTTTTTTGTAAAAAAAAAAAGGGGGTTTTCGCATGTCACGCCGTATGTCAGAAACTATTTATGCTTATTGCATAAAAATTCACACACAAGACGACGGGCGTATCATGCACTCATGGCGCAGCTGTTTATTATTTTTGTCCTGAGTGTTTTCTGGGTTTTTGTCGAGCCTTCGACTTTTGTCGAAAAAGCGAGACATAGCGATCCTACATTATTATTTTAATAACTTTCTTAAACTAACCTGGATGTCTACCAAACTTGGACAGAAGCTTGTTTATGATCATAAGATAATATTCAAAAGTAAATTTTGTAAAAAAAAAATTCCATTTTTTCCGTATTTTACTTATAAATGGACTTAGTTTTTCTGCCAGGAAACATTACATTCACTCTGTGGTTAAAGTTTTTGAAATTTTAATAACTTTCTTAAACTATCCTGGATTTCTACCAAACTTGGACAGAAGCTTGTTTATGATCATAAGATAGTATCCAGAAGTAAATTTTGTAAAAAAAAAATTCCATTTTTTCCGTATTTTACTTATAAATGGACTTAGTTTTTCTGCCAGGAAACATTACATTCACTCTGTGGTTAAAGTTTTTGAAATTTTAATAACTTTCTTAAACTATCCTGGATTTCTACCAAACTTGGATAGAAGCTTGTTTATGATCATAAGATAGTATCCAGAAGTAAATTTTGTAAAAAAAAAATTCCATTTTTTCCGTATTTTACTTATAAATGGACTTAGTTTTTCTGCCAGTTAACATTAAATTCACTCTGTGGTTTAAGTTTTTAAAATTTTAACAACTTTCTTAAACTATCCTGGATTTGTACCAAACTTGGACAGAAGCTTGTTTATGATTTAAAGCTAGTATCTAGAAGGAAATTTTGTTAAAATTTTGTTCCATTTTTTCCGTATTTTTCTTATAAATGGACTTAGTTTTTCTTCCAGTTAACATTACATACAGTCTGCAGTTTAAGTTTTTAAAACATTTATTAGATTCATAAACTTTACTGGATTTTTACCAAACTTGGACAGAAGCTACTTACAATCAAAAGATAGTATATAGAGGAATATTTTTATTAATTTTTTTCCTCATTTTTGTTGAGCCTGCGATTAACAGCAAAAGTAGGCGAGACACTGGGTTCCGCGGAACCTTTACGAATTTTTTCTACATGAAAACGTGCACTTGCCTATTTCTGCTTATACTATTCTGAGATGACGTGCATCACAAGTTTTCCTTAGAAGACTTACACATTTTCTTTTGATAGGATTTAAACCCCATTTTTTGGCTTTGAGAACTATTTTTCAAAATTTCCCCATTGTGCTTTTGTAGCAATTTCATTTGATAAATGATCTCCTCCTACTTTTTTGTCGAGCCTGCGACTTTTGTCGCAGAAATCTTGACAGGGATAGTGATTCGGTGGAGGCAGCGTTAACTTACTTCTTATAAGCTTAATATTTCAGAAGGTTGAGGACCTGGATGCTTTATACTTTGTATATAGATGCCTTATGTTATGAAGTTTTCGTCTGTCATATGTCCTTTGTCCTTGACCTCATTTTCAAGGTTCAGTGACTACTTGAAAAAAAAGTTAAGATTTTTTGTAATGTTCATTTCTCTCTTATTATGAGTAATAGGATAACTATATTTGGTATGTGCATCCCTTGCACAGTCCTCATGCCTGTCAGACAGTTTTCACTTGACCTCAACCTCATTTCATGGATCAGTGAACAAGGTTAGGTTTTCGTGATCAAGTCCATATCTCAGATACTATAAGCAATAGGTCTACTATATTTGTCGTATGGAATGATTGTAAGGTGTACATATCCAACTGGCAGGTGTCATCTCACCTTGACCTCATTTTCATGGTTCAGTGGTTAAATTTAAGTTTTTGTGTTTAGGTCTATTTTTCTAATACTGTATGTAATAGGTTAGCTATATTTGGTGTATGGAAATATTTTATGATGTACATGTCAGTCTGGCAGGTTTTATTTGACCTTGACCTCATTTTCATGGTTCATTGCTCAATGTTAAGTTTTTTTTGTTTTGGTCTGTTTTTCTTAAACTATAAGCAATAGGTCAACTCTGTTTGGTGTATGGAATGATTGTAATGTTTATATGTCTGTCTGGCAGGTATCATCTGACCTTGACCTCATTTTCATGGATCATTGGTCAATAATAAGTTTTTGTGGTTGTTTGTTTCTTAGATACTAGATTTGATACATCAACTATATTTGATCCATGGAATGACTGTAAAGTGTACATGTCTGTCTGGCAGGGTTCATATGACCTTGACCTCATATTCATGGTTCATTGGTCAATATAAAGTTTTCATGGTTTGGTCTGTTTCTTGTATACTTTAAGCAATAGGTCAACTATATTCAATGTATGGAATGATTGTAAGGTGTACATATATTTCTGGCTCCGTTCATCTGACCTTGACCACATTTTCTTGGATCATAAGTTAATGTGATACTTGTAGTAAAACTTTATCTTTAGGGCTATTAACAAAAAATCAATGGTAGTAAAGCAGGCGAGACATTTCAGTGTGTGAACTCTTGTTTAGAATTTCTAATGATCCATATTTACATTTTTAGCTCACCTGGCCCGAAGGGCCAAGTGAGCTTTTCTCATCACTTGGCGTCCGTCGTCCGTCGTTGTCATCGTCGTCGTCGTTAGCTTTTTACAAAAATCTTCTACTTTTAACAAAACTTGGCCACAATCATCATTAGGGTATCTAGTTTAAAAAATGTGTCCGATGACCCCGCCAACCAACCAAGATGGCCGCCATGGCTAAAAATAGAACATAGGGGTAAAATGTAGATTTTGGCTTATATCTCTGAAACCAAAGCAATTAGAGTAAATCTGACATAGGGTAAAACTGATAATCAGGTCAAGATCTATCTGCCCTGAAATTTTCAGACAAATCTGACAACCTGTTGTTGGGTTGCTGCCCCTGAATTGGTAAATTTAAAGAAATTTTGCAGTTTTTAGTTATTATCTTGAATATTATTATATATAGAGATAAACTGTAAACAGCAATAATGTTCAGCAAAGTAAGATCTACAAATAAGTTGTCATGACTAAAATTGTCAGTCGACCCCTGGTTTATATCTCTGAAACTAAAGCATTTAGAGCAAATCTGACAGGTGGCAAAAATGTTCATCAGATTTAGATTTATCTGCCCTGAAATTTTCAGACGAATCCGACAACCCGTTGTTGGGTTGCTGCCCCTGAGTTAGTAATTTTACAAAAATTTTGCAGTTTTTTGTTATTATCTTAGATATCATTATAATATCTAATATCTAATACTATTAATTATGATTTTAACCTTATTTTACATGATTTCCAAAGCATCAGTAAATACAGGTGAGCAACACAGGCTCTTGAGAGCCTCTAGTTTGAATAGACATGTTGTTAAAGCTCACTTTTCTCCAATGACTGGGGTTATTACCAATGCTTGCTTATAACAACTGGGCATTTCAAAGAACCCTCATTTGACAGGATAATAAAAGTAAATTTGTACTATGAGAATCTTGCATTGATTTGAACCATCATCATTGTTTGAGTGAATGCATTACAGTGAATTATTAGATGGTAATAATTTGTGTTGAAAAGTAGTTTTCTGGCACATGCAGTATGCTGATGACCAGTAATATTGTTTGTTCAGAATGTCAAATAGATACACATACTTATTAGAATAACAAATTATTTGGCTTGACTGTTTATGTGTGAATTGCATAAAACACTTTTTTTTTAGGTTGGGTGAATACACTGTGTGGAGGTCAGTCACCAGGAGCCAAAGGATTTATGTTCTTTAAGGTTGATGTTGATCTAACTGAAGAAGGACAAGGTAATGAAAACATGTTGAAGTGACTATTATTTTGTTAAAAATATAAAAAAAGCAACCATTGACAATATGGAAATGGATTATTAGCATTATAAAGAATGGATGAAATCTTTACATTATAACACAGATTTTTTGGCGAAAAAAAGTAAATTTTATGGTTTGAACTTTGGGATGTTAAAATTATTCAATTACGACTAAATTTTTTAGACAAAAATGATGAAAATAATAGACACACAGGGCCTAATCTAGGATTTTGAAGAGGGAGAAGTGACTTCTCCTTCCATGAGAGAGAAGGAGAAGTGGTCAACTTCATGGAGAAGTGAGATTCCATTACCGTTTCAGGTGCATCGTTTTTTCATGCTTATCACTAAGAAAATTGTTTTATATTCAATAAAAGATATACTTGCAGTTTTTTCATATGTTATTGTACACAATGCATATATAGAAGTTCTTAATAAAAAGGTTTAGACAATATATAGTTGATATTTATTTATTGATACCATAATGTGTTCTTAATAAAATTTGTTGATTGGGACATGAGGGAGTAGCCTAGTAATATTATCAAGATGATGATGCATTAAATTCATGTGCATCTGCCTAAATTTATTTTTAAAACTCCAGAAAAATATGACTCCCAGTTTACCTGATGAATTTCACATGACTGGGAATTTAATTTATATCACCACTTGTCATTATTTTGTAAAACATAATTGAATGTCCAGGACATTAATGCATTTACATTAGTTGTAAATTGAGATTATCGTTAAAGATTGTAAGTCTATAAATGCAAATATCTTTCAATCGCAAATTAATTATCCGATAAACAGCTAATTTCTGTCATTTTTTAAAAATATCATCCATATCAACGAAGTGGTCATGAGAAAAAATCCACTGCTGATCACAATCTGGTCGAGTGTCATACGTTTGCAATCACGTTATCCATCAGCTGTCTTTCTACCTTTTATATTTCAATTTTTATTCAATGAATATAATAAATCTACCCTTAATTCCCACCCTATACCTACCAAATAGTAAAATTGATCGACTCGTGGAGGTAATAAAAATAAAACAAATCAGCTGAGTGATTACGCAACATCCTCAGATGAAAATCATCGTAAAACGATATCTTAAACAGACGTTCAGTTTTCCGTTTGAACAGTTTTGAAAGTTGTATCCGAGGATGTTCAAAATCTCCGTTGTATTTATTTAATTTGATCGTTTACAGTATTAGTCCTGGGTCGTTTCGAAAATCTCGATTTTCCTTGTCAGCCGCCATTTTTTTTTACCTGTCAGACTTGTCAATCACAAGTTGTCTCCCTTTTACAGATTTTGATAGCGATTTGACTTCGCTATGAAGTCAGTCGGCCGGCGAGATTTAGCGATTTTCAAAATTCTATGGCGACTTAAATCGTCATTTCGCTGGCAAGATTATGGCCTGGACACAAACTTGTTCTTATCTACTTTAGAATAGAAATGCTCTTCAAGTACTCTTTTAATTTTAAATAACATTTGTTATTACAACAACAAAAAAATAATTTCATTTGTTTCATAGTTAGTTCCCTTTGTATATTACAGAACACATTGATGACATCATAACTTTGACATATCAGTACTTTAACATGTTGAAGAGAGAGGGTCCTAAACAGTGGATATTTGATGAATGTAAGGTAGGTGATCAACAGATGATGAAACCAATTTTCGAACACAGGGGAATTATTTAGAATGCTGTTTTCTGTTCTGTGTCTATATTAAAACATGCTCACTACAACAGCATTCACCAAGGCAGTTAATAAGCTTAGAAGGTTGTTGATTATCAATGTTAAAGAGATTGAGTTTATTTTAAAAAAAATCAATTCTGAGGAAAATATGTTATCTCAAAATATAACTGTGTAATGAGACAGCAACCAAATGGCAAACATAATCAAGACATCTAGGGTGCTGTTTACAGTCCAACAAAAGATAGGTTTCTGTACAATTTGTCTAGCTTGAAATTGTCCCAAATCTATAAAAGTTGCAGATAGATTAAACAGAAAGTATTAAAGATCTGCCAACAACACCAAATTCAGTCATACTTATTTATTTTTATGCAGTATATGGCATTGCAAATTCAAGGATTTCTGATGTAAAGAAATATATTGACCTTATTTTCCATTTTAGGATTTGAGTGCAATGACATTTAGATTCAAAGGGAAGGAAAAGCCTAGAAACTACACAACACAAGTTGCTGGCCTTATACATGTAAGTTAATTTCATTAATCATACACATTTTAGAGATATACATATACTTCATATATATTATTTTGTTTCAATAAAAAAAAATTAAAACAGCCTTGCATTATTCTTCAGAAAAACCATAAAAAAGGAAAATAGAAATATGAAAATAATTTATATTTTTTTGATTGTAAAAAAAATCTTATCAACCATGTACATTTCAGGCAAAGGTATTAAAAACATTTTCACTACCTGAATAAAATAACCATCCTTATTAAATACTTAGTGCTGAAAGTCATTTGAATCTCAGTGAAAAAATAATCATAAGTTTTATTATCAGATTTAATTTTTCAGAAATACAGCTTATCTGAAGTGTTAAGCGGACCATACTTAATGTCAGAATTCCAACCTGATTTGATCACAATGGTATTGGACAAACTTCAGCCTGATAGAATGAGGTTAGATTGAACTCTGGGTTAAAGGTGACAATAAGATTTTTAGAATCAAGAGGTGTTTGAGATTCAAGCCTCTGAAAGCATAAATAGATTATAAAAGCTAGAAAAAACAGGTGTGCTCATACAAAAAATGATGATGCTAATGATGAACCAAAATCATAAGCAATTATCCTTTAATGGGGCCATGCATTGTCTAGAATTCTAATCCATAATTGGATTATGTTGTAGCCTTGTATGCAAAGTGTTTACTTGTTTCTGTTTTAAGTTTGAGTAATTAATAAATGTTATGTTGTTTTCCTTATAAATAACATTTTATTGTCAAATTCCAGTTTATCACTCTTTTTATCACTCTTTAAGATAATTGAATAAGTGTTCACAGGATTTTAGTTTTAATCCAATCGGACGTTTATTTAAAACCAATTATTAAATAATTCTGGTATCTTGATGAAATCTTGCATTTGAGGGAAGTACAGTATTTGGGCTTTATTTTTTAAATGATTTTGCTAGATCCTTGTTATTCAAGGCAGAATTTAAGTTGAAAACATTAACATTTCACTTTCAGGATCTTTGTAGTAAGTAAAAAGTTTGAAGATAAAACTAACATCAAAGAAAAATGGTATGGTACAGATTATAGTGTTGAAGACATCCCAGACTCTAAAATACAGGTAAAGTTATATTTGTATCAGGCCTTGAATGAGTAAGGATTATCTATTCCTGTATGCTAATCATTTTTTTATGCCCCCGCCGTAGCGGAGGGGGCATTAAGTTTTACCCTTGTCCGTCTGTACATCCTTGCGTCCGTCCCTCCCTACGTCCCAAAATTGGTTTCTGTTCTCTAACTTTAGTTTGCCTCAACCAAATGTTATGAAACTTATCCACAATGCTTATTACCACAAAACCCAGATCGAGTTTGAATTTTGGTGGCATCACTTTTACCGTTCGAGAGTTATGCCCCATTACAAATGGAAAAAATTGCTGAATTTTTCGTTTCCCTTATCTAACTTTAGTTTGCCTCAACCAAATGTTATGAAACTTATCCACAATGTTTATTACTACAAAACACAGATCAAATTTGAATTTTGGTGGCATCACTTTTACCGTTCTAGAGTTATGCCCCTTTACAAATGAAAAAATTGCTGATTTTTTTGTTTCCGTTCTCTAACTTGAGTTTGCCTCAACCAAATGTTATGAAACTTATCCACAATGTTTATTACCACAAAATACAGATCAAATTTGAATTTTGGTGGCGTCACTTTTATTGGTCTAGAGTTATGCCCCTTTACAAATGGAAAAATTGCTGAATTTTTCGTTTCCGTTCTCTAACTTTAGTTTGCCTCTACCAAATGTTATGAAACTTATACACAATGCTTATTGCCACAAAACTCAGATCAAGTACAAAATTAGGTAGCGTCACTTTTACCCTTCTTGAGTTATGTCCCTTTATAATGTATATGCAAGCGGGGGCATCATCTGTATTCCCCGTTTATTTTTTATATGTTTTAAGTTTTACAAAATTAGCTGATTGATTTGTAAAGATACATTATAAATCTGTGTGAAATTAAAACCATAAAATCTTTCAAATACTATGAATACGCAGAGATTTTATGGTTATTACAGCATAAATATAATTTTTCTACAAAATATGACAGTAGTTGTATATTTTTAACACATATTTGTGAGTGGGAAATGTTGCATGCATGTACCACAAAATTAATGACTCTTGAGATGTTTTTTTATAAAAACAAACATGGTAGCAAATTATTTAGTTAGAACTTGCATGTGCTCTATATTTTTGGGTTTAAAAACTATTTGAAAAATGTCTTGTATCTAAGATTTTTTTTTCATGAACACAATTAGAAGATAATTTTTCATGACTTCATAGCTACATTTATTGTGATGTAATGGATTAGAATCTAATTGTTATCTATAATAAATCATCTTTAAAATAGACACAAAAGTATTTAGATAAAATTTCTGTGAAAAAAAGGGCCCCTATTTCCCCCTGTCCCTTTGGGAGCATTCACAGAAGAATTCAGACCTGACCAAAAGCCAGGGGTTAACTCAGGTGCTGTTTCAGAGTTAGCAATCCACTTGTGGCAGATGTCAATATAAGAAAGGCAGCTACCCAAAATGAAAGCAAAACATGAATAATATCTGGAATTACATTATTTGCTAGTGGAGAATTTTTACTGATGAAATATTAATGTTTTCCCAGTAATAGCTTTAAGTGGAGCAGAACTGGGGAATTATTTCCCATAAGTATGCACAAGATGTCATTTATTATCTAGAGAACAACATATCTTCATAATGATAATAATGCACATAATTAATTAAAATTAACAGTTTTAACCATACATGTAGATACCAGTCTTAATGGGAAACAATCAGTTTCTTTGTCAATTATATCTGTTTTAAGCTGTTTCAGAAAACTGATGGTAGGAACTTAGGTAAATTAAGATAGGTTTAAGTCAACCAAAGTTATTCTTAGCAACTTTTTCTTTTAAATATCTACTTGTAGTTGAAAGAGCTGGAGATGAATTACAGATTGAAAGCACCAGTTACATAAACAAATTGTTATTACATGTATAGTTTGTGTTGTAAAGAATTTATCTGAATATACACTGAAATCAATGACGAATAAAGATTTGTTAACCTTCAAAGTGTATTAACTGCCATTGTAATTTTGATATTTAAGTATTGTCTCTAACATTTCTTATATGATAAATAACTATTTGCAGATGTGGAGTAAATGTGGAGAAAATGAAAACTTAACATTGCCAGAAAAGAATGATTTTATACCAACAGATTTTGAATTGGTAGCCAGGGAAGTAGATCCAGTAAGTTATTCCTACAGAATACTAGAAAGAACAAATGTAGATATTGTAAATTCAGAAATTTTTGTAATTTTGTAACTGGAGAGCATGGTTCTTATTAAAAAATTCACATTCTCTCCTCTAGGACTCGAACACAGGATCTCTGTGTTTCAAATCAACGCTCTAAACGACTGAGCTAAAGAAGTACTTCCCTAGTTCTACTCTTTATGACTGTTTAAGTATCTACTACTAAATGGAAGCAATCCTGTCACAATGTTGTTATTATTGCGAAAATTGTGCAGGATAGGTTTTGCAGAAATGAAAACTCTCATTTTAAGATTTGAAAGCATTATTTATTTTATTTGTATGCAGCTTTTTAATGGAATTGCAATAATTCATCTCCCATTTATTTCCCTTGTTTAATAATCGTAATGTTAAATGCACACAAACATTTCTGAATTTACAGAAGCTGATATTCAGGATGGCAAAATATATTGATAAACAAAAATGCTTTTATATATATTAATAATAATATTTACATTATTGTTATGTGAAATAAGTTAACAAAATAATTAATTCTCAACATAAAGCAAATGATGAAACAATTTTTATTTTATGACTTGTACATTATAAGAAACAGACAATAAATGTATGCTTCATAATGAAAAAAACCTGCCTTCTTCATGATGGGTACTCAGTAAATATATTTTGTGGATTGAACTTGTATGTTCAATCAGGGGACATAATTCACTTTATGCAAGCTGATTATCTACAATTACAAATTTTTTTCATGAGTATGCAGATCTGTAGCAGAAAGATAGAGATATCACAAAATTGAATTGTTAAAGTTTAATGGGACTGTTTTATATAGTAGTATGCTTCCGAATTTAAAAAAATCACTCTGATAAAAAAAAATATTGATTGCATTGAATTAAGTTTTTGCTTTTTATTAATTGACAAATATGAGGGAAACAACTTGATTTGCCACTTTGCTGATGGATTACTAATGTATGTGTTAATTATGAAATAAATGTTGTATCTTTTTTATAGACTTCATTACCAGAACTTATTAAAGACAGTGCTATGACACAACTTTGGTTTAAACAAGATGATACATATCTATTACCTAAAGCCTGTATTAATTTTGAACTAATTAGGTAGGTTAACTTCTATTTTTTGGATAAATTGCGAGAAGAATAATTATGTTAAAAGGCAGTCTCTGGTATTTCTTGTATGCAGTTAGTACAGGTATCCTCAGTAAAGAAAAAAAAAACGGAAATTCATTTAAGACCATTCTTCTTAATTAAAAAAACCTCTATATGAGAAAAAATAGTTTTGATTAAACAGGTGGAACAAACCATAGGCAAATTTATAGTTATTGAATGTTACTATGTGAAAGTCATTCCTGTATATATATCAATGTGAAAGGCTACAATGAGCACAGCATGAAATTACTTCAACAATCTGACCACGTTTTCCTTTACGTCTTTAAATTGTATGAGTTACACAAAATCCATAGAAAAATTAAGTTAAAGGGATCAAATAAAAAACTCAAATCAAAACTGGATAAAAAACAGATAATTTTAAAGCTTCAAAAGCATTCATGCTACATGATGTACTTGTATGCAGTTTTCTATCCAAACTAAGTTTTTATTGAATAATATATGCACATAATTTTTGATGCTGGAAAAAAGATAATAGTATAAATTTGTGTTTTTTGTTATATTACAGTTCTTTAGGTCGATCAGATCCAGTGAACTGTAACCTGATGTATCTGTTTGTATCCCTGTTTAAAGATGCTTTAAATGAATATGCTTATGATGCTGAGTTAGCTGGTCTACATTATGGCTTAGAATGTACAATATATGGCATGTCTGTGAGTAAAATATGTTATACCATCCCTCCAAAGATATATATGCTTTTCTTCTTCATGTAGTTTCAATGTTTTCTGGCATGATTTCGTAGAAATGATTACCAAGTGGACTCTTGATGTCATTGAAGATAACTTTTTGGGCAAATCGTACAGCTCTTTTATGTTCAGAAAAATAGTGGCATATGCTATATTGTTTGTGTATGCAAAATGATATGAAGTTTATACAGATGTAATTATAATGAAGTTTATACAGATGTTACTATAATGTATACATTTTCATTATATCATTATGTTTTAAGAAGATTATTCACTTGAGTTTACCTCTTAATTGTCTGCATTATTAATTATATTGGTTGTACTGAAATACTGGGATTTTCCAGTAAAACAAAACCATTAATTTCATGTATGAAATATATTGGATTATTTTATTCCCATGAGGTCATACAATAATGGCTGTTTTCAAGACATTGTCAGTGACGTTGCATCAAAACTAAATTGAGAATGTGTAGAAAAATTCTTTAAATGACCCCCCCCTCCCCCAGACACACACTTTTTTTTTGCAAAAAAAATAATTTTTGAAGAATTTTTCTTTTTAATTTCTGAAATGAGAAAAATTGACCCCCCACAATTTCTTTTTACCCCCCCCCCCCCCCCCCCCTTTTTCCCCCAAAAAAATTTCTTCCCTCAAGATATGGTCATTATCTCAATTCAAATTTCCAATGGAGTTTGCAACCATAATTACCCATTTAAATTTACCATAGTGCTTACTTAATCTATTTTATAATAGAATTTAAAATATGGTGTCAAATCTTTCATATGGATTTTTTTGTAAAAAAAAAAAAGATGCAACATTTGCAGATATTTTTACATGTCTTCCTTTATAAATATGCACTTCCTTAAACATAATTTAAAAGCAGTGTAAGGGAGGTAATCAAAACGTATTTGGATTACCTCCCTTACACTGCTTTTAAATTGTCTTAATTGTTCATTAACCATTACTTTATACATAATTTAAAAGCAGTGTAAGGGAAGTTTTAACACTGCTTTAAATTATGTTTCGTACTAAAGTATTTGTCCATTAACCAGGACACCCTTGTTTTTTCCCCTTTTTTGCCCCTAATTCCTAAACGGTTTGAGCCATAACCCCCCCCCATAGCAGATCCTAACTATCCCTTTGTGGTATGGAAACTTGGGTATAATTTCAGAGAGATCCATACACCGTTCCACAAGTTATTGTGTCGAAACTAGAAAAATGCTTATTTTTTACCCCTTGTTGGCCCCTAATTCCTTAACTGTTGGTACCATAACCCCCAAAATCAATCCCAACCTTCCTTTTGTGGTATTGAACCTCATGGTAAAATTTCATAGAGATCTATTCACTTAAACTAAAGTTATTGTGCGAAAACCAATGTGTCTTCGGACGACGACGACGCCAACGTCATACCAATATACGACCGCAAAATAATAACTTCAGTGATATATTTGATGGTCACTACGTTAATGATATGGGCTTTATGTATTAACTAGTATCCTAAATGCATGTAATATTGTAATTCTTATGGTTTGTAGAATTATTTATTTGTTGATACTTTAAATTGTATTTTCATACTTTGCAAAAAATATATAATCTGGTATACAGGTAAATAAATTAACAAAGCATGAAAGTGTGAAATTGTATTTACCAATAATTATTAATAAAGGTGACAACTAAAAGGTTACATTAAAAGTCATGAGTGCTGATTAACAAGAATTTGTAAATTAGTAAAAGCTTATTTGAAATATGTTCCCTTGTGGTCATAAATATGTTAAACAGGTAATGATCGTAAAAACAAGAGCACTCTCTTTCAAAAGGTGTTAATTATCAATTTGAATTCAAACATTGTACATAGATTACTTTCTGGATGAATTTTAAAACAATAATTCCTGCTATTTGACTTTCAAATCCCGACCTATGGTGCACACTCGTTATTCAGTTGGGGAGATTTGTTTTAGTATATGACATGACAGGAAATTAATATAGAATTCTAACACTTTTATATTCTTACATTTTATTTTTGTTAATAATGAAAAAATAAATTAATTTTAACTATTTTCTCAAGTACAACACTAACATCAATTAAGAACCCTGTGAACGGCCCCTTTAATGCTTTGCATTTACGGATATTATTGGGGTCAATGAAACAGCTACATAAACTATGCAAGCTGTAAATACTGCATGTCAAAGGCACAGAAGTAAACTGTGTGTCGGGGAGGGGGGGGGGTCATTTAAAGTTTAAAATGGCCCTACAGAAATGGGCATTGTTAACGAGTTGGGATATATAACAAATGTTTGTTTGTCTTCCAATGATTAATAACTTTAGTTAAATCTTGAGGAGAAGACTGATATGATGCCCTTCAACTGCAGCATACTGATAATGCCAGTGAAGAATACTAAGGAAAAGGAGTAGAGCCAGGAACCCAAATAAACGGCCCTGTTAAGGTGTTTTTTTTAAAACTTCAATATTAAAGTGAAACTAATGATTATGTATTGCTAAATGTATTATATTTGAATGTATGAAAATTATATATCTGCTTTATATTTATAGATATTATTAGTCTGAAATAGGAATAGATTTCATTGACGTCCATTTTTCTAGGAATTTGTCAATTTTTTCAACCTTTCTTCCTTATTTCATATGTGGCGCCACCCCTCACCCATTGAAATTTTTGTGGAAAAGTCAAGAATATGGTGTATAAAAAATATATTAGCAAAAATATTTGTGGGCAAAGGTTGGCGCTGCTGTTAATTTTTCTGAAAACCGTCATAAATTTTGCAGAATTCTGCCAAAAATCTGTTTTTTGCAAAAATTCAGCTACATTTGTAACATCACAAATAAGTCATAATGACGAAATTGGTGAAAATCTGTTTTGGCTGATACAATTGAACATTTTAACATATGTTTTCATAAAATTTTCCCCACATTATTGCCTTCAAAATTTTTTAAGATTTTAAGGGCAAATTTGGGAGTTATTGCACCAACTCCTTTAAAGAGATAAATGAAATTCACGTTTTGTTTTTAACATGAATTGGAATCTCCCTCCCTCACCCCATTTTGATATATATTTGGTCCAATAAGTTGGAGGAAACCCACTTGTGTATGGAATCATATGCAATTTTGTGCAACAACCAAGAATGTACATGCATTTGTTATTTCAGTCAATATGAAGCAATTATATATTTCATTATATAACTATTAATATTTTTCTGCATTATAAAAAGTGACCCGCTACCTTAGTGAAATTTTAATTGATTTTATGAAAAAAGTGAGTTTCTGTAATCCTATGAAATTATTAATTGACAAACTTTTTTGTTTTTCATGTACCTATATGATAATTTAGAATATTACATTTTTACAAATATACACTTGATTAGTTTTATACGACTGCAAATTTTTGGGATCGTATAATGGTATGATGTAGTCGTCTGCGTCTGCGTCATCATCGTCTGCGTTGTTGTCCGAAGACACATTGGTTTCCGGTCAATAACTTTAGTTTAAGTGAATGGATCTCTATGAAATTTTTTAAGAAAGTTCAATACCACAAAAGGAAGGTTGGGATTGATTTTGGGGATGATGGTCCCAACCATATAGGAATTTTTCTAGTTTCCAGACAATAACTTGTGTGTAACTGTATGGATCTCTCTGACATTGTACCACAAGGTTCCATATCACAAAGGGAAGGCTAGGATTGAGTTTGGGGTTAATTGCCCAAATATATAGGAATTAGGGGCCACAAAAGGGCCAAAAACAAGCATTTTTCTAGTTTCCGGACAATAACTTGTGTTTAAGTGTATGGATCTCTCTGAAATTGTACTACAAGGTTCCATACTACAAAGGAAAGGCTGGGATTGAGTTTTGGGGTTATTGCTCCAAGGGGGGTTTCAAAAAGTTGGAGGGGGGAATGGATTTTTTTTTCCAATTTTTATAGAGGATTCATATTTTTTTTTCTAAATTTTTCAAATTTGGAATGTTTGAAAAGTTTCAAGAAGAAATCTTCAATTGCACAGTATTGCGCAATAGATTTGTAAGATCTTTGACCACATTTATTTTGTGTCAGAAATCTATATTATGTCAAAAATTTGATCACAATCCAAATTCAGACAGTATCAAGCTTGAATATTGTGTCCAAATTTGTACCAACTGTTCAGGGTTTGACCTCTGCGGTCGTATCAGGCTGCGCACAGCGAAGCATTTTATTTGGGTTTTTTTTATAAAAGACAATTCACATAGCATTCTGTAAAATAGATGATGTAGATTGACATAAGAAAACAAACTTAAATATATAGAAAAATAACATTTTAAATGATATGATACAAGTTTGACTCACATATTAATATTTTGACAGGTATAAGAAGGTTGTCATTAAATGTTATTTCCATCTTAAGGATGTACTTAGGTGAGGTTTAGGAATTTTTGTCAGATGTTTGGACACCTTGGTTTTTTTCCTACGATACAGGGTAAAATATTTTGCCCCCATAACACCCAATTATATTTTCATATAAGACTTCAATAGCTCATAAAAGGTCATTTACCTAAATTTAAGCAGATTCTAGATTTCTTTTCTTTCGATTTGAGACCCAAATAATACCAATGCAAATATAAGGTAAAAGTCTTAGTCAGCCTTTTCCCGCCATTTTTTAAAAACTAAATATATGGAAAAGAAGCTCCATAACCTATCAATATTTTTAGCTTATTTTGTTCCTTAACTAATGTTCTTCTGACTTATGGTATCAATTTTAAATTCTAGATATTTTGAATTTCACCTTAGTACATCCTTAACATAGCTCTTCACTGGTTCTAAGTATACAATGGAAAAAAAGTAAAATGTATGATGAGCAAATAGTTTGTGTATTTAGAAGTCATTCAAGTGTTGAATATCAGTCCAATAAATAATATTGTTATGTATTGTTTATGGATTACTTCAGCACCCAGATATCTTCATTTTATACAGCTTGGCATCCTTGGCTGTACTATGTTTAGGTGTAGAACATCCTATATAGATCTGTCCAGTTTGAGAGAAAGCCAAGGCATATGGAAGTTTTATTCCATTGTCTGTTGTCTTTATGTATGTAATAAGCTGTCCAGAGTTGTTCAGGATGTGGAGGGTATTCGTATAAAGATCAACTACAATGACATTGTCTCTTGGTGTTGTCACTATTCTTACAGGTCTGAATGGTTTCTTCTTGTTGATTTCTGTATCCCCTGTATATATATTTATCATATCTCCTGCCTGATCTAACACTACCACTTTACCACTGCCTTCATGTGGATAATAATCTACCACATGTATATTACCATTACCGGTTGTAGTAATACTCCTTGAATATTTGAATATAGGTTGATTAAGTTTGTCATGTTCATACACAACTTCATGGTCTCCTTTCTTATTTATTACAAACACTGCTCCCTTTTCATCCTTAATACCTCCTATTATGACTTGACCATCACTGGTGACATGAATGGCTGAAGGATAGAAAGGATTAATGTCAAACACACTGTCTGTTACTTTACCAGTGGTATTGCTGATCATTTGTAGTCTGGATTTACCAACTACTGCCAGAAGTAGATCAACAGATGCAGTTATTGCCATACCATAGACCTTGATGTTGAATGTAGATATTGTCTTCAGACTTGTTCCTTCAGGTTTCACTTTCTGTATCACTTCATCTGGATCACAAGCTATCCACAGTGAATCATCAGGACATGGAGATAAATAACCAACCATGGTAAGATTAGTCTGATATTGATCAACAACACTAAAAGAAACCTTTGCTTCAGCTGATGGTATGCCAACACTTTGTAATACTCCAATGTTAGGCTGAGTTATCTCACCAGGAATAAATTGAAGTGTTGTTCTACGTGATATTTCAGGTGTGGGAACGGATACTTCTATTGATTTCTCCATTTGGCAAACTTCTTTGAAAAATTTAGTGATGTCAGTGGTATTAATGAAATCTTGAATATTACTATACTTTTCATCTATTTGTCTCTCACTTTTGGAAATGGCATTTATACTTTCTTCATTTGCTTTGGAGGAAGCTTGATGGTTCTGATCTAACTCATTTCTAAGTTTTGCATTATATTTTTCAACTGCTTGTTTTAAAACTTTCTCATGGTTGAGAATATCTGTGCATACATTTGCATACTCTGAATTCTCAGTGGTCTGAAGCAGATTCACCTGAGCCTTGGTCGCTATAATTTCTTCTTTTTCTTTTTGCAGTTTACTTTGTCCTTTCTTAAGTTTGTCTACCTTCAAGTTATATGCATCACTTATTTCGATTAGATCATGTTTCTTGTGAACCTTAACAACACAAGTAGGGCAAATGAGTTTGTCACAATTTGTACAAAAAAGGCAAGAAGATTGTTCTGAATGATCTTGACATTTAATGTTTGTAAAATCCAATCCTTCGCTAGACAGCCACACATTCTTTATGCTTACTACTTTATGATCCTTACCAATTCTTAGATGTATCTTATCTTTACATTTAATGCACATTAGAATTCCACAGGTCAAGCATTTCCATTTGGTATTCTCAGTTTCACATAAATTACAGTTTATGGGTCTCTGGGCTGTATTAACTGATTTAGAAAACGCCATTATTGAAGCTATTCTAATTCCTGGTTTGTATCCAGGTGACTGCAAAATATAACTGACCCGGTATAGGAAATATATAGATTTACATGTATGTTGTATAAAGGTATCATATCTTGATCAAGTAATGGTACACTATTGTTAACAGTTTAAAGATCTTCTTGATAATAGAACTATTCTTCTCTAAATAAAGAATTCTTTATCTTATAATCATATATCACAAAATGCTTTTTGAAACCATTATATTGAACAGCAAAGGAAAAAAATGTTATGGCCCCAGAACACAGCTACTTCGTAGTGCATTTCTTTTAGACAATAAATTCAAATTAAAAAAATCGCACCTGCTCTATCTAGAAAAAGATTTTTACAGTGTAGTGTACTACTTTTTGGACAAATAATATCAGAATTATAGAAAAGTCTACCAGCTCTTACTCAAAATATGGACACTTCTGTGTTAAGGGGGTCTATAATTCAGTTTGACAGCTTCAGACAGACTAATTTCTGACCTTTTATTACTTGAATTAATCACTGCTTTAATTAAAAATTGATCACCAAAATTTTTCTATCATGTAATTTCATCACCCTACTTAATATTTCATGTTCAATATTAAGAAGTATTAAATTGTGCAGATATATTTTATTGAAGTTGCCTTTTTCATATGAATAAATTGAGATTAGGGTTGTAAGTCAATGAGACAGCAACCCACCAACACAAAAACCAATAGACAGCTAGAGGCTTCAATATAAGTGTCTATACAATACATTAAGCTCTAAAGACTTAAAAAAGTTGTACTTAGATTTAACAGAGACTCTCAGACTATGAAAAATCTGCCAATTAGCATCAAATTCCATGAATGAGAAAAAAATACATAAAGATATGACAAATCTCAAATACTGTTGAGGTTTCTGACATGAACATGTGTGAGTTTATCACAATAGAGAAGGTACTGTAAAAGACCAGAAAGTTCCTTACATTTTACCTTTGACCTTTAGAGGATGAAGAAATTGATAAATATTTGAGGTATATAGAAGTTATTTGATATTAATATATTATAATGAAAAACAAAGTAAATATTTTTAAAAAAGAAGTAGGATATTTATCAAAACGGCTCGTTCATATGAAAAAAGTAGATGTTGGGTATACATCAAGGAGACAGCAACCAGAAGACAAGAAAACCTAAAAGAATTCAAGTGGTCAGCATATGGTCTTCTGCGATAGACAAGTGTCTAGAACACTTTTTCTTTTAAACAAATTATAAAACAATACTTGAGACAGTCCCAATATTCAGTCTTGAAATAATTGCAACTAGTACTCTTTTTTTTAGAATGTATGATTTTGATTTGTATATAATATCTATTCACTACATGCAATCTGTAACTGTTTTATATGTTCTAATTATGGTACATGTACATTGAACTATCATGACTATACGATTGTGTTAATATGTTGTATGTTTGCTTTTTGTCGAGCCTTCGACTTTTGTCGAAAAAGCGAGACATAGCGATCCTACATTCCGTCGGCGTCTTCGTGGCGGCGGCGTCCACAAATATTCACTCTGTTGTTAAAGTTTTTGAAATTTTAATAACTTTCTTAAACTATCCTGGATTTCTACCAAACTTGGACAGAAGCTTGTTTATGATCATAAGATAATATTCAAATGTAAATTTTGTAAAAAAAAAATTCCATTTTTTCCGTATTTTACTTATAAATGGACTTAGTTTTTCTGCCAGGAAACATTACATTCACTCTGTGGTTAAAGTTTTTGAAATTTTAATAACTTTCTTAAACTATCCTGGATTTGTACCAAACTTGGAAAGAAGCTTGTTTATGATCATAAGATAGTATCCAGAAGTAAATTTTGTAAAAAAAAAATTCTATTTTTTCCGTATTTTACTTATAAATGGACTTAGTTTTTCTGCCAGTTAACATTACATTCACTCTGTGGTTAAAGTTTTTAAAATTTTAACAACTTTCTTAAACTATCCTGGATTTGTACCAAACTTGGACAGAAGCTTGTTTATGATTAAAAGCTAGTATCTAAAGGGAAATTTTGTTAAAATTTTGTTCCATTTTTTCTGTATTTTACTTATAAATGGACTTAGTTTTTCTTCCAGTTAACATTACATAACAGTTTGCAGTTTAAGTTTTTAAAACATTTATTAGATTCATAAACTATCCTGGATTTTTACCAAACTTGGAAAGAAGCTACTTACAATCAAAAGATAGTATAGAGAGGAATATTTTTATTAATTTTTTCCTCATTTTTGTTCAGCCTGTGATTAACAGCAAAAGTAGGCGAGACACTGGGTTCCGCGGAACCCTTACGAATTTTTTTCTTTTATTATTATTTTTTACATGTATTGTATATGAGGGCCTCAGGGAAGATTAGTAATTGTAACTAACTGTGTTTACCCTCTTTAAATAAAGAATTTATTATAATTATTATTATAGACAATATTTGAAGGCCTAAACTGCCCATAGTCTAAAAAGTGGTGAAAAAATTAATCAGTCATGTGAAATGGTATGAATTCATAGTTCCCTACACTCAAAACTTTGAATTTTTGAAATAATAAGGAATTTCTATCTTCAGGAATAGATAACCCTAGCTGTATTTGTCAAAACCTTTCAGAATTTTGGACCCTCATAACTCTTCAACTTCGTACTTTATTCGGCCTTTTTTAACTTTTTTGTTTGAGTATCACTGATGAGTCTTTTTTAGTCGAAACGCTCGTCTGGCGTACACAATTTTATTCCTGGTATAGATGATGAGTTTATATTTAAGTTACTGTACTTTAGAGCACATTTATGCAGCAATATTATAAAAAGGTGAATTACATAACCTGAAAGATAGATAAAACTTTTTGCACAGGTTACCTTAAGATGGGATTTTTCAGAAATTTATGAGAATGTTATGCAATGGTTTCATTCTAATCTCTGTTAAGAACTTGAATATAACCCATTTTAACTCGTAATAAGAAAAAAACTGATGTTTTCTTTTTTTTTTTCAGTTTGCTATTGGAGGATATAACCAGAAACAGAAAGTTTTATTGGCCAAGATTTTAGAGAAAATGACAACTTTCAAAGTGGATCCAAAAAGATTTGAAATATATAAAGAAATGGTTGGTATAAGATGAATATGTAATTTCTGTGAATGTGTTGTGATATAAAGAAAGACACAAAATGACAAGTTTTACACTTTATAAATTACATAAACTGATATCATATAGACCTTGGTTCATTATTTGGTAGTAAGTGTAGGATATTTATCAAATGCCTGAAACTGAGTAATTATTCAGGAAAACAGGGAATAGATGAGTGAAACAATGAATGTGACATACTTTTTGGCAGTCATATCGCTGTCATGCTGTATGACCATTCCTCTTGGGGAGCAGTCAGATCCAGAAAACTTTGTTGTAAAGAAAACAGACATTAGCCCATGATAATGTTCCCTTAAAATTCCAAAAAGTATATTACATTAAGTTTCATTTCATCAAAAGGCATCAATTTAAAGACAATTTCTTAAAGACTTTTTCATTTTTGTATTTTTTACCTTCTTAAGTCACTGTGGTAATTAAACTTCTCTTTTCTATGAAAGGAATCAAATATCAGTAGATTGGTTGAATAAACTTGGCCTAAAGTTGATTGTTGTCTTGACTCTGGGGCACTAAATCATTTATTGGGAAATAACTCTAGGACAATAGGTCCGGGTACACAGTTATCGCCCTTTGATTTTCGTTGTCCACGAATATAGTCCCTAGTGTGGACAGTGTGTTACTTGTCGATTTTTTTTATACCCCTTCCAAATTTATTTCTCCATGTTTTATGACTCACATAGTAAGTAGGGGGGTGAAATGACACTGTAAAAAAATTTGGGTCATGAATTTTAAAGTAAAGTAGTGATTTGGTCCAGCTGAAAAATGTTAAAAATTAGCACTTCGGAAGCTGTCAAAAGATTTGAAGACCCCCTTAACATGAAATTGTCCATATTTTGAGTTAGAGCTGATGAAGTTTTCTATAATTTTGATATAATTTGTCCCAAAAGTAGTACACCACACTGTAAAAATATTATTGAGAAAGCGCAGGTGGGATTTTTTTAATTTTCATTTATTGTCTAAAAGAAATGCACTACGAAATAACTGTGTACTCGGACCAATAAGAAAACCGCAAATAATGAAAAAAAGCATGGACAGAGTTAAATTTAGCCACTGAAGGATGCATGAACTTAAATACACAATATCATAATAGTTTTACCAGTTTTTTTTATTATTTCTCTAGTATACCAGAAGCCTTAAGAACTTCAGTGCAGAACAGCCACATCAACATGCTATATATTACACATCTGTACTGATGTCAGAATTTATGTGGACCAAAGATGAATTATTACAGTGTGTTGAGGGTAAGCATAAATGTAATTTTGGCTTTATAGTTATTATTCACAGCTTGAATTTTCAAATTCTTAACCATAAAAATGGCATAATCATGAGCTCTTTTGTGTATTAGGGCTGTTCCATAAAAACATACATGGTACCCAGGGAAGGCACTTTCATAATTTGGTAACCTGCACCTAAAGAGGCAAATTTAGAATTTTAATTACATTACCACTGTACTTGACATCCACCCATAGTAGAGATTTTAAAGTGCCTTCCCTGTGTCCCATGTATGTTTTTATGGAACAGCCCTATGATATTAACCATTTTTAACATAGCTTAATTTAAAATTATGGTATTGTTAGTCTTTTTTTTATCTTTTTTTTTTTATCAAAATTTATGGTTTTTTTTTAATATTTGAGGGATCTTCATGGAAGTGGTTATGACTGCCTATGCAGATGGGTCAATATCCTTAATTGATTTTCCATAGGGGGTAATGGTAACATTTTTTCCTGTAGCTCAGCCCATATCATAAACTTGGATATGTATGATGGCTAGTTTCGAAGCTGAGACATTTTCACATTTGTGGTTAAATTTTTGGGGTACGAAGTGAGATTACTTTTCTGTAAATTAGCATACCCCAAAAATCCTTTCGTGATGCGGCTAAAAAATCCCTTTTTTAACACAATAAGTTCTTTGAAAATTTAATACTTTGAACACATTTAATAACTCCATAGTTTTTACACATTTATTCTATAGTCCTCTTCTTTCCAGATCAACACAAATGGTTAAGCTCAGTCACTTGTTAAAAATAGAAACATGTCCAATATCACTACACAGAGATTTTTTGTTTACACACAACATTTGAGTTCCTCATTTTGAGGCGCATTAGGGATATTGATCCAGGTCAGAATAGCTCAGTAGCATGATGCAAGTGTTTGCTTAAATGTTTTTGTGTGCTTGCCTAAAGGTAGGGGATGCAATCCCTACCACACAACCAAATTTTTAAAGTTAGTCTTTGCTGCTTCTTTATTTTGGAGTAAAAACAGAAACTGTTTTGATTGGAATCATAATAATGTATCTCAGTATGCAGACATGTCATGTCATGCTGCAATATTTTATGTAGTAAGCCAGTATGTTAAAAATATAACTCAGCATTATCACATTAACATGCTGGTGTACCTAATATGAATGTCAGTCAAGCACTTGACTTAAAAGTTAATGTTATACATGATGTATATAGTGAATCAGTTGGGTCTTTTTTTCAATGTTCTAAAAGAGTTTCCAGATTTATAAGTAACATTTTATTATATCAGTGCATTAAAAAACAAATGAGTATCACTATTTCTAATTTAAAAGCTGTGGCCATTTTCATGGGTCTAGCATATCTACATCTTACTTCTAGATCAATATCAGTAATGGCTGTTGATAACTTTAGAATGTTCATGTTTATATTCCAGAGATGACAGTAGAGAAGCTAGATGCCTTTATACCTCAGTTATTATCTAAATTATATATAGAAGGACTTATATATGGAAATGTAACAAAGCAGGTTGGTTGTCTTTAATTTTTAGCTCACCCGGCCCATAGGACCAAGTGAGCTTTTCTCATCACTTGGCGTCCGTCGTCCGTTAACTTTTACAAAAATCTTCTCCTCTGAAACTACTTGGCCAAATTTAACCAAACTTGGCCACAATCATCATTGGGGTATCTAGTTTAAAAAATGTGTCCAGTGACACGGCCAACCAACCAAGATGGCCGCCATGGCTAAAAATAGAACATAGGGGTAAAATGTAGATTTTGGCTTATATCTCTGAAACCAAAGCATTTAGAGCAAATCTGACAATAAAATTGTTTATCAGGTCAAGATCTATCTGCCCTGAAATTTTCAGATGAATCAGACAACCTGTTGATGGGTTGCTGCCATTGAATTGGTAATTTTAAGGAAATTTTGCCGTTTTTGGTTATTGTCTTGAATATTATTATAGATAGAGATAAACTGTAAACAGCAATAATGTTCAGCAAAGTAAGATCTACAAATAAGTCAACTTGACCAAAATGGTCAGTTGACCCCTTAAGGAGTTATTGCCTTTTATAGTCAATTTTTAACCATTTTTCGTAAATTTTTGTAATCTTTTACAAAAATCTTCTCCTCTGAAAGTACTAAGACAAATTTAACCAAACTTGTCCACAATCATCATTAGGGATGCTATAAACAGTTTCGTATAAAAAACTAGGGGTTATTCCCCGACTAAAAATAACCATGGAGGGAAATCCCTTTTTATTCATATAATTGGTGAAAAAGTATCATGTTTTTTGTATTTGATTGTAAAAATTAGTTAATTAGCTTTCAAATTAAACAGGTTGAATGATTAAAATAATTTTAAAAATAAGATTAAATATTCATGTTTTGAGGGGAGACAACACTGTAAACATCCTGTTTTTTTGGCAGTGAAAATTGAAAACTTATTTGCAGCCACTGTAGCTCTTTTCGAAGCAGGAAACCGTACCCTGAAACAAGATTTTTATTAAAGGCCAGGTAAAAACCTATGAATTTCATACAGTTTTGATTATGGGAAATGTGCCTGTATCATGTTTACATGGGTATGCACATGACCTGATTTCAGGTTTTTTATGTTCAGATTAGGCAACTTTTTCCCCATTTTCTCTGGATAGAACTTTTTTACTATATTAAAAAGTACAGTATATTATTATTTCAATATAAACTAGAGAAAATTCTGATTCCAGTAATATCTAGTTTTATACAAGTATCTTTATTAACCATTCCACCACTAAGGGTCACTTAGGCATGGTCCCTTAAAATATGACGTCATAGAAAAAAACTGTTGATTGCACCCTAGGGTATCTAGTTTAAAAAATGTGTCCGATGACCCCGGCCGCAAACCAAGATGGCGGACATGGCTAAAAAATAGTACATCGGGTAAAATGCCGTATTTGGCTCATATCTCTGAAACCAAAGCATTTAGAGCAAATCTGTCAGGATAAAATTGTTCATTAGGTCAAGATCTATCTGCCCTTAAATTTTCAGACCAATCAGGCAACACGTTGTTGGGTTGCTGCTCCTGAATTGGTAATTTTAAGAAAATTTTGCAGCTTTTGGTTATTATCTTGAATATTATTATAGATAGAGATAAACTGTAAACAGCAATAATGTACAGCAAAGTAAGATCTACAAATAAGTCAACATGACCAAAATGTCAATTGGCCCCTTAAGGAGTAATTGCCCTTTATAGTCAATTTTTATAATCTTCATAAATTTTGTAAATTTTTGTAAATTTTTACAAAATATTTTCCACTGTTACTACTGGGCCAAGTTCTTTATAGACAGAGATAATTGTAAGCAGCAAGAATGTTCAGTAAAGTAAGATCTACAAACACATCACCATCACCAAAACACAATTTCGTCATGAATCCATCTGTGTCCTTTGTTTAATATGCACATAGACCAAGGTGAGCGACACAGGCTCTTTAGAGCCTCTAGTTAATTTAATGACACATTTGATATTTTAATGTAATATCATGAGACCTTGTTTTTTTTAATGAAAATTCTTTTCAGTAGTGTGTATTTTGTTCTCAAAATGGCCATGCCTGACATTTTTAACAGTTTAACACTTGTTCTTTTACAATTTTGGTTTTAATTATTGCAATGTTTATCCAGTAGCTTTTTATGGAGAATTAAAAACATTGCTTTATTTTCTAATTTGCAGGAATTAAAATGAATAGTTGGCCATTAAAGGTTACATTTCTGTAAATATCAACAATGCAATTTCCCATAGGAACTCCTTTTATGGCTAAAACTGTACCACTTTTACTATGAAGTTTTGAAAAAAATTATATCCTAGAATGGAAAGTTCATATGCACTATTTTTTTCAAAGGTCAAAATATAGGGCTGTGCGGCATATTTTCAATGTTTATATGCCCCGAACTTCTAAGAGTTTAAACTTATACTAAAATTCTGTACTACCCCTACCTTAACTTTAGGTTTTCAACAGATTTCAATTTCACCGCTATGCATATGTATATTTACTGGTAACATTCCCAAGTTATGTCTCTACGAGATGAAACATAGAGATCATATCTGGGAACCAGTATGTAAACAAAATTAATTATCTATGAATATTATATATCTCCCCAAAATAGACGTGGTTTGTGAAATAGCTGTATTTACAAAGTGCAACCTATAGGTTGTCAATGAAACCATTGTAAAAAGCAACAAAATGTTTTTTGAAAAAGATGAAAGTGTTTTAGCTTGAACAGAATTTTAAGAACATTGTGATAGGATATTTTTAGGACATCATGTTTTAAGAAGCTTTGAATAATTTGGATATTGTGCAATTTATTTAAAATTAAATTAAGGATTTCTATCTTGTAATGTTGTTGGACCATTAAGATCATCTTTTATGAAATACGAAATAGGAAAAATACATGAATATAGAAGATACAACTTCAATTTTGATATAATTCATTGTCTAGTCAATTCAAAAAATCTATGTAGAGAAAGTGTTCTCTTTATTCTGCTTGATTGTATAATATACTAACAAAAGTTACGAAGCTATTGTATTTTACAGGGAGCATTAGATATTGTTGACACAGTAGAATCTATACTGACGACTAAATGTAACACTAAGCCATTATTGCCTAGTCAGACAAAAAGACTTAGAGAGTTACAACTGCCTGATGGTTAGTTTATTTTCTCATTGTTCTCATTGAATTATATGTTTACAAAATATACATATCTTAAAAAGCTGTGATATAAAAATAGACTAACAGAAAAACTGTCTATAACACAAATTATTTTTAGAATTACTTGAAGAAAGCTTGGGAGTTTGGTTTTTAGAGCAAAAGTCCTTCTATCAGAAAATTAATTAAGATTTGGTTGTAACCCCATGTACTTGAAGATTAGGGTTTCCATACAAAATTGAACTGAAACGATATTGATCTTACCTCTATACAGTAAAAGTATATTAATTATCAACAAACAATATGATAGGGTCAGGACAATAATAACACAATACCTAAATATCTCTTCAAGTGACAGCTTAGTAAACCGGAATCTTTCTATTATACTATAGGTATGTGCCTATCCAAGTATTAATTTCTAATAGTGAAAAATCAAAGGTTTAGTAATATAAAAAACTTCCAGTTAAAGACGCCAATTATCATAAGTATCAGATTATTTGTTTAACAAGTTGCAATTTATAGGAAGATAATCTAGTCATTCATGTACTTCTTTTTTTATTCAGGCTCATCATTTGTTTATCATGAAAAGAATCATGTCCACAAAAGTTCTAGTATAGAGGTATACTATCAATGTGGATTACAACAGACACAGCCTAACATGTTACTGGAAATGTTTGTACAGATTATAGCTGAACCTTGTTTTGATATCCTGAGAACAAAAGAACAGTTAGGTAAGTTTTTATACGACCGCAAAAATTTTTGCGGTCGTATATTGGTATGACGTTGGCGTCGTCGGCGTCGTCCGAAGACACATTGGTTTTCGCACTCTAACTTTAGTTTAAGTGAATGGATCTCTATGAAATTTTACCGTAAGGTTCAATACCACAAAAGGAAGGTTGGGATTGATTTTGGGGGTTATGGTACCAACAGTTAAGGAATTAGGGGCCAAAAATAATCATTTTTGTAACTTCCAGACATAACTTGTGTGTTAGTGTATGGATCTCTCTGACATTGTACCACAAGGTTCCATATCACAAAGGGAATGCTGGGATTGATTTTGGGGGTAATTGCCTCAAAATATTAGGAATTAGGGGCAAAAAACAAGCATTTTTCTAGTTTCATGACAATAACTTGTGTGAAAGTGTATGGATCTTTCTGAAATTGTACTACAAGGTTCCATATCACAAAGGGAAAGCTGGAATTGAGTTTAGGGGTAATTGCCCGAAACGTTTAGGAATAAGGGGCCAAAAATAAGCATTTTTCTAGTTTCCAGACAATAACTTGTGTTCAAGTGTATGGATCTCTCTGAAATTGTCCTGCAAGGTACCATACCACAAAGGGAAGGCTGGGATTGAGTTTGGGGGTGATGAATCATATGGGGGTTCTAAAAATTGGGGGGGGGGGGGATTTTTTTTTTTTTCATTTTTTCCTTTTTTTTTTCTTTTAAAATTTTCCATTTTAAGTTGGTTATTTCTGATTTATATTTAAAAGCAAATAATAATGATATGGTAGGAGATACACACCAAACAGGATGTGTAAATTATTATATAATAAGTATTGTGCAATAGCAAGAAATTTTCAATTGCACAGTATTGCACAATAGCAAGAAATCTTCAATTGCACAGTATTGCGCAATAGCAAGAAATCTTCAATTGCACAGTATTGCGCAATAGCAAGATATATCCAATAGCACAATATTGCGCAATAGCAAGAAATTGTCAATTGTGCAGTATTGCGCAATAGCAAGAAATATTCAATTGCACAGTATTGTGCAAAAGAAGATACTTCGTATAAATTGCTTATTTCTTGACCAATTTCAATGGGGTTTTATTCTTGAATTCTTGGGATTCTTTAATATGCTGAATCTAACCGTGTATTAAGTTTTTGCATTTTGTGCCCCGTTTTTAAATTGGTCCACATTGAGGTCCAAAGGGTCCAAAATTAAACTTTGTTTGATTTCATCAAAAATTTAATTATTGGGGTTCTTTGATATGCCGAATCTAACCGTGTATTTAGATTCTTAATTTTTGGTTCCGTTTTCAAATTGGTCTATATTAAGGTACAAAGGGTCCAAAATTAAACTAAGTTTGATTTTAACAAAAATTGAATTCTTAGGGTTCTTTGATATGCTGAATCTAAACATGTATTTAGATTTTTGATTATGGGCCCAGTTTTCAAGTTGGTCCAAATCGGGGTCCAAAATTAAACTTTGTTTGATTTCAACAAAAATTGAATATATGGGGTTCTTTGATATGCTGAATCTAACCATGTATTTAGATTTTTGATTTTTGGGCCCCGTTATCAACTTTGTCCACATTGAGGTCAAAAGGGTCCAAAATTAAACTTTGTTTGATTTCATCAAAAATTGAATTCTTGGGGTTCTTTGATATGCTGAATCTAACCATGTATTTAGATTTTGGATATTGGACCATAATAGGTGAATGTCCAATTTAAAATTTTTAAGTTCTTAGACCACATTCATTCTGTGTCAGAAACCTATGCTGTGTCAAATATTTAATCACAATCCAAATTCAGAGCTGTATCAAGCTTGAATGTTGTGTCCATACTTGCCCCAACTGTTCAGGGTTCGACCTCTGCGGTCGTATCAAGCTGCGCCCTGCGGAGCATTTTATTGTAACATAATATTATATTAGTCCTGATTAAAGTGGAAGTATGTTTTAATAGCCTTCTAACAAAAGAATGGTTAGATTGATTTATTTAACTGATGAAGCATGATACATTGTGTCTTAAACTCTGTTCATGGCATCAACAAAAAAATTAGTATATGTATGTAAGACTCGGAGGTGCAATGGGGACGCTAAAGTGTACCCTGGTCAGGCTGAAGTGTGGTGGTCTTTTGCAAAATGTGATGGTCCTTTTGCTGATGTGCAATTTTCTATATGACGCATGATTGCTAGTTAAAAATCTGCAGATGTGTAATTATTATAAAAAAAGTAGATTTTTTATTAGATGGAATTCGCGCTTATTATTGTCCATAAAATATTTATGCCATTTTGGTTTTGATGATATGTATGTATATGGATGAAATAAAAGAATTGTTAAAGGAATGATCATCCTGTTTTAAGCCTGTTTACCATACAAATTAGGATTATATGACAAACGTATACTGTTTAACTAGCATCTGTTAGTACCCTGCTATATTATGGTTTCATCGATACCAAGTTTGCATATATGCCTATAGAAAGTTTGTACTTTCTTGAACATTTGAATTGGGGGAAATCCACTAAAATTGGATTCCCATGAATAATATTGAGTCCACAGTACTTAGAAAAAGTGTCAGTGTTTGCAAAAGGAAAATAACATTTTATTAAGTTGCTGCGTCCACAGCCTTTTTATATAGTTTTACCCTTGTCCTTCATACCGCAACAAACAGTTATACAGGCTTTTTTCTAAACGCCTTCACATATTGAGCTGTTTTTTAGTATGTGAGTCTGCTATGATGAGTAACAGATCGAGTTTACGTTTGGTTCCGCTCCACTGATTTTTGTCATAATGACGTGCTTTGGACTTTGAAATTTTCCACTCCTGAAAATGGCTTTACGCTTTTTTTATGAGCGGGGCCATTTGTGTCGTTCCAACACATCTAGTTATGGATTTATCTTCATTTTTATGATAAAATTATTTTTATTTATGCAAACATTGAATAATCTATCTGTAAAATAAAAGTTTTGTATTATAACCTTTTTGATTAACAACCATTTAATTTGATTAACAACAATTGAATTTGATAAATTGCTGTACTGAGATTGAGATTAATAATTTCTTATTTCCAGGTTATATAGTATTCAGTGGAGTGAGAAGATCTAATGGTGTACAAGGACTGAGGGTTATAATACAGTCTGATAGATCTCCTGATTATGTAGAGAAAAGAGTAGAGGCATTCCTAAATAGCATGGATGTAAGTACAAAATTAAACACTGGGTATTGATACTAAAAAACATAGTTAACATTTTCACGGTAACTGATTTACAATGTGGATTCATTATTTTTGTTGGGGTACAAGTTTTTGTGGTTTTAAGGATAAAATTGAACTTCCAATTCAAATGTTTAATGAAATAAACATTTCCTATTATTTTGTATGTAGAATTTAGTACCCATGAAAATATAATTTTTCTTGAATCCTTGGAAATTGGTACACACAGAATTAACTTTAATTTGTATTTATCTTAAAGCTAATTTAATATTTCTCAGTTGTTCAGGTTGCTTTGCTTTATGTGACCTTACCATAGATTTATTTAGGCACACCTGAGCAATTGACTACATGTCAGGTTTTAGACCAATAAGATCTTATTATTTAATCCACTTTTTAAGGCGATACAAGGTTCAGTTATTGGCGATATTTAAGAAATTTTATCCCTAAAAGCTGACATTCAGACTTGAAAGACTTAGGATTTGATCATTTACCACAGAGATCAGCGTGTCATGAATATTTCAATTATTTGATCAAATGATTATTATTTATACAACTATGACATCAAACAATACTATGTATTTAATTGGGCATTATTCCATAAGAAATGTAACCAAAAATACTTGTGTCTTATGTGTCTTCTTTCATAAGACTTTTATATTGGATTACGATATGGAATCTCTCTTTTATCCCTGACAATATGCATCATACATTATGTTTCAAAAGCCTTCATGTGATTTCAAACCTGTAATTTTCACACAGGACTATATCAAAGATATGACAGAAGAAGCATTCCAAAAACATTTGAAAGCTCTGGTGTCCAAACGTATGGAGAAACCTAAAAAGATATCAGGACAAAATTCAAGATACTGGTCCGAAATATTATCTCAACAGTATAATTTTGACAGAGGTAAGAATAAAAACCCACAAGAAATATAAGCCACCATTTGCATTTGGGGTTGTGAGTTTGAACCCATCAAGTGGCAGGTGCATTCCACTCCAATCTTAATTGACAAGAATTTTCAGTTTTCCTCCCAAAGGTCTGTGTTTCTCTCTGGCTACTCCGGCTTTCTCCACCAATAAAATCAGGCCGCCAGGATATAGCAAGACTGCTGAAAGTATCGTTTAACACCAACAATCAATCATTCAATCATTCAATCATAAATCTACAACTCCTTGAAAACTGCTTAACAAAATTCCAACAAAATTGTATAGATTTTTCTACTGGACATAAAGTGTTGCTCCTACTATTTTAATTTTCAATTTAGTGAATTTTAGGGGTTTCCCACATCAAAACATAGACTATGCTTATATCAGTTTGTTAATCTGCAAGTCCTTGAAAACAGCTTACAAAATTCCACCAAACTTACACCAATTCTTCTACAGGACATTAAAATTGTGCACATTTGAGTGATTTTTACCAAGACTTAAACATAGGCTTTGACATTTCTGCTTGCATCATTTTGAGAGGTCAGGAAACGAACATCTCTTTTTGAAACTCACACATTCACCTTTTTGTCTCAAGTTGAAAAAGCGAAACTTAGGCATGCTGTTTTTGGTGTAGGTGGCGGCATCAACAATGTATTAGTTTGAGATTAGGTCAGTTTATGGGGATTTGCTAGAGGTCAGTGATATTTGATGTGCAGTTGTATTAGCATTAGAACATCTCATTTCCATGGAGATTATGTATACTGACTTTGAACTTTAGCTTAGTTTACATGTATTAGTTTGTGATTAGGTCAGTTTAAGGGGAACCATTAGGTCCGAGTACACAGTTATCGTCCTTTCATTTTCGTTGTCCACAAATATAGTCCGTAGTGTGGACAGTGTGTTACTTGCCAATTTTTTTTATACCCCTTCCAAATTTATTTCTCCATGTTTTATGCCTCAAATAGCAAGTAGGGGGATAAAATTACACTGTAAAAAAATTTGGGTCATGAATTGTAAAGTAAAGTAGTGATTTGGTCTAGCTGATAAAGGTTAAAAATAAGCATTTCGGAAGCTGTCAAAAGATTTCAAGACCCCCTTAACATAAAATTGTCCATATTTTGAGTTAGAGCCGATGAAGTTTTCTATAATTTTGATATAATTTGTCTCAAAAGTAGTACAACACACTGTAAAAATATTATTGAGAAAGCGCAGGTGGGATTTTTTTAATTTTCATTTATTGTCTAAAAGAAATGCACTACGAAATAACTGTGTACTCGGACTATTACTAGTAGGTAAATGAAATTTTGTATGCAGATGTATTAGCATTAGCGTATCTCATTTTCATGGAGGTTATTTGGCTTTGCACCTTCAGTCATAGTACATTGACTTTGAATGATTTGCATAGTTTACATGTTTATATATTGCCATTTAAATTTCAACATTTGCACTATACTATCAAAATTACAAAACGTGGCACATATCTCTGTGTCAATAGTTTATTTAAGCAAACAATAAAAAAATATCTAATATCTTTTATGTAAAAATTATAATTATTTTCAGAAACTGTGGAAGTTGAATTTTTGAAAACTGTGAAGAAAGAAGATGTCTTTAGTTTTTTCAAAGTAAGAAGATATGTCATGTTATGTTTACATTCAATTATTTATTGTGATAAGAAAATTAGCATGAACTTTTTCATATGGTTTATTTTTTATTTGTCCACATGATTGTACTATTGTCAGAACAATTGTAAATAATTATACACTTGATAGGAGTAAGAAGATAAGTTGTGTTATGTATAGATTCTTAAATTTCTTGTGTTCAAAAGATTAATATGTTTTTATGCTCCCGCCGTAGCGGAGGGGGCATTAAGTTTTACCCTTGTCCGTCTGTACGTACGTCCCATAGTTGGTTTCCGTTCTCTTACTTTAGTTTGCCTCAACCAAATGTTATGAAACTTAAACACAATGCGTATTACCACAAAACACAGATCAAGTTTGAATTTTGGTGGCATCACTTCAACCATTCTAGAGTTATGCCCCTTTACAAATGGAAAAATTGCTGAATTTTTCCTTTCCGTTCTCTAACTTAAGTTTGCCTCAACCAAATGTTATGAAACTTATACACAATGCTTATTACCACAAAATATAGATCAAGTTTAAATTTTGGTGGTGTCACTTTAACAGTTTTAGAGTTATGCCCCTTTACAAATGGAAAAAATTGCTGATTTTTTGTTTCCGTTCTCTAACTTTAGTTTTCCTCAACCAAATGTAATGAAACTTATACACAATGCTTATTACCACAAAATACAGATCAAGATTGAGTTTTGGTGGTGTCACTTTAACCATTTTAGAGTTATGTCCCTTTACAAACTGAAAAATTGCTGTATTTTTCGTTTCCGTTCTCTAACTTAAGTTTGCCTCAACCAAATTTTATGAAACTTATACACAATACTTATTACTACAAAACTCAGATCAAGTACACATTTTGGTAGCGTCACTTTTACTGTTCTTCAGTTATGTTCCTTTATAACTTAATATGATATGCAAGCGGGGGCATCATCTGTGTCCCATGGACACATTCCTTGTTTATTTTAATAGTAATTTCCACTTATTTGTATATAGAATTATAATATTGTCAAAACTATTGTAAGGAAATTATACATCCCAAAGAAAGATCCTAACTTTTTATAAAAAAAATGAACTTGAATGAAAAGAAAATTCTGTCAACAGATATTTGGGGTATATATAAATGAGACAGCAACCAAACAACACAAATAACTTATATCAACAACCAAGATTCTTTAATGCACCAACTACTTTCATTATCAAATCTAACTCAACTTATTTGAACATTGAAGGAAAGGTTTCTGATTGCTATGGATTTATAATGAAAAGTCATTTACTCCATAATTCACCCACTTCCAGGTATTTGCACCATAATTTTAGATGCATGCAATTTGAGAATTTGTTTCAACAACAATACAGCAACCCAACAACTCCAGATCATCAGAAAGAATTATTGAATTTCCTGTTTTAATTTTTTATGCCCCAGTCGTAGCGGTGGGGGCATTAAGTTTTACCCTTGTCTGTCTGTACGTACGTCCCAAAATTGGTTTCCGTTCTCAAACTTGAGTTTGCCTCAACCAAATGTTATGAAACTTATACACAATGCTTATTACCACAAAACACAGATCAAGTTTGAATTTTGGTGGCGTCACTTTAACCGTTCTAGAGTTATGCCCTTTATAAATGGAAAAATTGCAAAATTTTTATTTTCTTCTAAATATCAAGTAATTTTTATACGAGGTCGTATATTGGTATGACGTTGTCGCTGTCGTCGTCGTCGTCATCCGAAGACACATTGGTTTTCTCACTCTTACTTTAGTTTAAGTGAATGGATCTCTATGAAATTTTACCATAAGGTTCAATACCACAAAAGGAAGGTAGGGATTGATTTTGGGGGTTATGGTACCAACAGTTAAGGAATTAGGGGCCAAAAATAAGCATTTTTGTAACTTCCAGACATAACTTGTGTGTTAGTGTATGGATCTCTCTGACATTGTACCACAAGGTTCCATATCACAAAGGGAATGCTGGTATTGATTTTGGGGGTAATTGCCTCAAAATTTTAGGAATTAGGGGACAAAAAAGGGACAAAAAACAAGCATTTTTCTAGTTTCATGATAATAACTTGTGTGTAAGTGTATGGATCTTTCTGAAATTTTACTACAAGGTTCCATATCACAAAGGGAAAGCTGGAATTGAGTTTGGGGGTAATTGCCCTAAACATTTAGGAAAAAGGGGCCAAAAAGGGCCAAAAATAAGCATTTTTCTATTTCCAGACAATAACTTGTGTTCAAGTGTATGAATCTCTCTGAAATTGTACTGCAAGGTACCATATCACAAAGGGAAGGCTGGGATTGATTTTGGGGGTAACTGCCTCAAAATTTTAAGAATAAGGGGCAAAAAAGGGGGAAAAAACAAGCATTTTTCTAGTTTCATGACAATAACTTGTGTGTAAGTGTATGGATCTTTATGAAATTGTACTACAAGATTCCATATCACAAAGAGAAAGCTGGGTTTGAGTTTTGGGGTAATTGCCCTAAACGTTTGGGGCCAAAAAGGGGCCTAAAAACAAGCATTTTTCTAGTTTCCAGACAATAACTTGTGTTCAAGTGTATGGATCTCTCTGAAATTGTACTGCAAGGTACCATACCACAAAGGGAAGGTTGGGATTGAGTTTGGGGGTGATGAATCATAAGGGGGTTCAAAAAATTTGTGGGAGGGATTTTTGTTTTCTTTAAAATTTTCCATTTTAAATTGGTTATTTCTGATTTATATATAAAAGCAAATAATAATGATATGTTTTGAATAGGTAAATTAAAAAATTTTAAGTTCTTAGACCACATTCATTGTGTGTCAGAAACCTATACTGTGTCAAATATTTAATCACAATCCAAATCCAGTGCTGTATCAAGCTTGAATGTTGTGTCCATACTTGCCCAAACTGTTCAGGGTTCGACCTCTGCGGTCGTATCAAGCTGCGCACAGCGAAGCATTTTATTAAAATTGGAGTTATCTTCCTTTGTCCATGATTATAGTTGATTCACTAAAAATCAATGCTTTATACAATGCAATGTTTAATTTTGACTTCCACTGATAAAACACAGATCAAGTTGAATTTGGGTAGTGTCGCTTTAACCATTATTGAGTTATGCCCCTTTATAAATGGAAAGATTGCAAAATGTTTAGTTTCCATTCTGTTACTTAAGTTTTCCCCAACCCTAAACACAATATTCAATACCACAAAACTAAGATCAAGTACAATTTTTTTGTTTCCGTTTTCGAACTTTAGTTTGCTTCAACCAAATGTTATGAAACTTATACACAATGCTTATTACTACATAATACAGATTAAGTAAGAAATTTGGTGGCAACACTTTTACCATTCTTGAGTTATGTCCCTTTATAAACACAAAAATTGCTGAATTTTTCGTTTCTATTCTCTACTTAAGTTAGCCTCAACCAAATGTTATGAGACTTACACACAATGCTTATTACCACAAAACTCAGATCAAGTTCAAATTTGGGTACCGTCACTTTTATCGTTCTTCAGTTATGCCCTTTATAACTATATGATATGCAAGCAGGGGCATCATCTGTGTCCACATGTGGACACTACCCACATTTTTTAATAAAAAAAATCCTTTAATATAGTTAAATGCTGTAATCATCAAGGGGTAGGGGGTTACTTTGAAATTTCTTACCAGAAATATCTTTCAATAATATATAAAACTATGCATTGTATATTTTAGGATAGAATAGCTGTAGGTGCTCCGTACAGGAAGAAGTTTTCTATTCATGTTGTTTCCTCCGTCAATGGAGAACAACAAACAACAGAAACAAATGGAGAACAACAGACAACAGAAACTACAGATGATGGGAACAATCTGCTGCCCTCTCCAGAACTACCTCAGGTAATTATGTTACCTTTGAAAATGACTCTGTTTGAGAAAATTTCAATCAAGGTTTTCCTAAAGCTTTTAGGTCCGAAAAACTTCACAAACTCATCGTATCTTGATATCTTCTCCAAAATATGCTGAATTTTGAAACTATAATATTTATGTATGATTGTCATTTTGTTTATTTTCTTTTGTTTCCTATTCTGACATTGGACTCGGACTTCTCTTATACTGAGTTTTACTGTGCGTACTGTTGTGCGTTTGTTTTTTCTACATTGGCTAGAGGTATAGGGGGAGGGTTGAGATCTCAAAAAACATGTTTAACCCCCCCGCATGTTTGCGCCTGTCCCAAGTCAGGAGCCTCTGGCCTTTGTTAGTCTTGTATCATTTTTTATTTTATTTTCCTGTGTATAATTTGGAGTTTAGTATGAAGTCCATTATCACTGAACTAGTATACATATTTGTTTAGGGGCCAGCTGAAGGACGCCTCCGGGTGCGGGAGTTTCTCGCTGCATTGAAGACCCATCGGTGGCCTTTGGCTGTTGTCTGCTCTATGGTCGGGTTGTTGTCTCTTTGACACATTCCCCATTTCCATTCTCAATTTTATAAGGAAGAGATTTGTTTTACCTAGCATTAAGGCTCTTAAACTGGATCCTTTTAAGAAACAAATAGTGGCCTTTTGTGATATATTATGAAAAATTTGAAACTTAAGGCCTTATTTTGAAAAAAAAAAGTGAGCCCTGTCCTTTGTAGACTATACTCTAATGTTTATTTTAAGGAGAATTTCAATGATTGTCTTTTTCAGCCTATGGTTGTGACCAGTGTAGCAGAGTTCAAAAGAGACATGGGACTTTATCCATTACCAAGGCCTTATATAGACCTACAGAAAGCTAGATCTAAATTATGATAAATTTATTGATAGGAAGAATAGTTGTGATGAAAATAGAAGACCTAATGAAACTTTACTTTGTGATTCAACTCTAGTTGAGTTTTAAAAAGCACTTGGTGAAATTTTACCTTCAAATGAAAAAAGCTTTTATTTTTCTGTTAACATCATCAACAATTCTGTAATATCTTATATAATCAAAATTGATTAATTATTTGATTTCAGTTTGTTTTCTTAAATATACAATATGTATTAAAATAAATTACAATAAAACAATCCAGTTTGCAGTCTCAATACTGCTTGTTTCAGTGGAATATTTTTATCACTTGTGCACAATTTTAAGCAAAAGTTAATTTTAGAGAAGTATAACTTCTAGGTAATTGGAGTTGAACCATTGGTAAATTTAAAGGGTTGCCTGTAAGATAAGAAAGAGTCCCGTCTACATCTGGCAAGCAAATATCACTTTTCATATTTCATGAATGACAACTGGGCAGTGTGTGTCTAGTCAGTTAAGTGTGTTTAATGTTTGTAGTGAGAATGAAATGATGGTTGGAATAAGACCCGGAGCAAATTGGACATAAACATTAATGTTATACACTCACATTTTTACTTATGAAATATCCCATCAACAACCAAGGTATTTTGGTATGCTGTTGACCATCTCCTTTTCATGTGCATGTTATTAAGATTAAGATTGATGCAAAAGAAATGGCTATTAAATTCCTTGGATTCATTAGAAATTGTTTAATGAATTAAGGTAACAGGCACTAAAACTGAATAATTTATGCAAAGTATAGGTTCAGAAATTAAATAACTATAGTGTTAACTAGAGACTCCTTTCCCTTTTGATAGAGTTTTGATGATGTATTACCTAGACCAATATCACAACTTTCAACTGTTGATGTACAATGGAGGAAATTAAGAAGGTCTTATTATTTTTTAATTTTTTTTTTAAATATTGCATACTGATGTATGTTTATGTGATTTTAGGAATTTATTAAATGTTTTTATTATTGTGAAAAATATGTCATTATTACTATGGCATTAATTAGAAGTTGTATTTGTAATTCTGATTGCATTTATTGATTTCAGCATTTCACTAAATTGCATAAAGTACCCCCTCATTGGTCTCTGTGATCAACATTGGTAAATGCAGTTTAGGTAGCTGTATACTTTATGTATACCCCTCATACTCTTTTACTTATACACAATAATTTTTGAATTAACAGTACTTTTGTATATGACTTTTTTTTTTTTATATATTTTTGCCTTATATGAAATTGTATTTGTAACTGGATTTCATACATGCACTTAAACAGATAATTATCATTTTATAATTTTGGTGCATCTGAAGTTGTTTACTGGTTTTACCTTCACCAGGAACATCCAAACTCAAACACTTGAAAGCCAATGATGTTTAAATACCTTAAAATGTTAGGCGTATATGACCAACAGAGACCTATGTATGGTTGGGCAAAATCAAATGGCAAAATAAATTATATCATTAATAAGTAATGTTTGTAACCTATTATATATCATTAATAAGTATGTTTGTAACCTATTATATGGTCAGATTATCACTTCTGAAGACAGTACCTTCATATATACGACAGTAGTCTAGAACTGATAGTTACAGTTGTGTAACAGTGATAAAATCATCTAAAACACATGTCTAGAACTACTTGTTACAGTAAATTAGTTGATCTAAACACATGTCTAGAACTACTTGTTACAGTAAATTAGTTTATCTAAACATGTCTAGAACTACTTGTTTCGGTAAATTAGTTGATCTAAACACATGTCTAGAACTACTTGTTACAGTAAATTAGTTGATCTAAACACATGTCTAGAACTACTTGAAACAGTAAATTAGTTGATCTAAACACATGTCTAGAACTACTTGTTACAGTAAATAAGTTGATCTAAACACATGTCTAGAACTACTTATTACAGTAAGTTAGTTGATCTAAACACATGTCTAGAACTACTTGTTACAGTAAATTAGTTGATCTAAACACATGTCTAGAACTACTTATTACAGTAAGTTAGTTGATCTAAACACATGTCTAGAACTACTTGTTACAGTAAATTAGTTGATCTAAACACATGTCTAGAACTACTTGTTACAGTAATCAAGTTACATATCAATAATCAAATGGCTCATTATAAGTTCAGAAAATCTTCTGTTTGTTCTGAAGGATTGAGGGGGGTGTTTGGCATAATCACAAAGTCAATATAAAAAAACCTTATTTATTTTATTATGCTCTGAAAATGGCATTATGTTTTCTTGTCTGTGTGTCCCTCCATCAGTCTGTCTCTCGTATGGGGTTAAAGTTGTGCTTTAGGGTAGTTTATGTCACATTAACTTGAAATTTAGTACACATGTTCAATATAAAGTTAACTGTTTAATGCTACTGTATGCCAAATTAGAGTTTGAACCAGATTTCACAGTTCCCTGAACAAGGAAATATGAGTGATTAAAGTTCTGTTTTGACTTAGTATTCATAGTTCACTGAACATGGAAATGTAATGTGAAACTTTACTGGACATGGAAGAATTCACTGAACATGGAAATGTAATAGAGAGAGAAACAGGCATTGTGTTCTTGATAAATCAATTTGAGATATAAATAAATGAAATAGGATCACATTTAACACAATGTACTTTGTGAAGTTATTTTGTACAAATTACAATCATAAATGAAAATAAGCAAAACAGTGCTCCTTCATAAATGAAAAACAAATATATTCAGAAATTGATATCTGAAAATCAGTTTCAAGAACACACATAATTTTTGTTTAATCTTACTGTATAACCTTCGTATATTATTCATTCTAAATGTGAATATAGCAGATAATTTCCATTTATTTCACATTCCTTAAAAATTAACTGTCAATGTCACTTAATGTATCATTTTATGCAAAGTGATAAATTATGTTCCAAAGAAAAAAGGACAAAAGTTCCAGCTCATGGTATTTTTTTTCACATTATTTATTTAAGGTATATATATAATTGTAGTAAAATTAACTGCACTTAAATTTTAAAATCGTTGATTAATTATTTCACATACTGAATTAAGTAATTGGGCATTATACTTGTCAGTGATGTCAAACAAACAAGCAATCAGTGAAAATAATTTTATAATGATGTATAAATATTCTTTACCTAAATAAAATTATAAAAAAAATAGTATCTTATTCTTTTAATACTGACACAATATGTGGAGGACAAGAAAGAAAAAGAAAATTTAGGAAGAGTAGAAATTAACTTTTCTATTGTGTATTATGATGTACTGCAACAGATTTGGTAGTATGCTGCATTCTTCTCAGCTGTCCATTCTCATTTACAGCCCCTTTATTTACATTATATTATATTTGGTCCAAAGCTTAGAAATATTAAATTAAACCATGAATGTGATTTGCAGATTCACTATTTGTCCAATTGAAGAAGAATGATTGTGATGGTCTTGTACTAGAAACTTGCTGTGGAAATATTCCTGTTACATGTATTAATGAGTTTCCAAAACTTAGGTTCATAGACTCATACTTCAAATTGTCTTGTAGTAACAAATGAACCATGAATGCGATCTGTAGATTTACTATTTGTCCAATTGAAAATGAATGATTGTGATGGTCTAGTACTAAAAAACTCGCTGTGGAAATATTCTTGTTACATGTAACCGAGTTTCTAAAACTTAGGTTTATAGCATCTTCGCTAGCCAAGGGTTACAATCCAGTTTCCTCCTCTCCACTACATTGTAACCCTTTGCTAACAGAGATGATTTAAAGGGCAAAGGGCACATTTATAGCATATCAATCAATACAGATCACAAAGGTTATACATATCTGAATAAACATCTCCTGTAATCTAATTATAGGAAACATACACAGGGGAAGAGAGAACTAATATTAAAAGGGATGAACCTATTTGTTAAATCTAACATGGTATATTTTTTTCCTGTCTCATCTGGACAATTTTGTTTAGAAACAGACTAAATAATGCATTTCTACATCTTCATATAGAGAGATTTTCTTAATTTATGTTTTCTATCAATATATGAATATGACAGTTGTTCTGCATTCTTTTCGTTGGTTGATATAGTCTAAGGTTTTGATTTTGTCAGGTTTTATTGCCTTCCATTGATTTGATTTTACCTTGAAGTTTGGAACGTTTGTTAATACTTTTTTAATATCTAAGTGAAGCAGTGTATAGAAAGAGAGAGCACTCTTGAACACAATATAGATTATTTTCTGTTAAGTTATGTGAACATTGTTGATATAGCTTCTATTAAGTTTTCATGCATGTCTCCCAGTTTCTGTTGTCAAACTGTGGTGACTCAGTCTAAATTAAGTTGAAATTATTTCATTGTTAAAATTGTTCCTATTTTAGTTACTTTTGTTATTGCATGTAAATTTAAATTTAAAATATAGGCTAAGGAAGGTCTTCTGAAGACATTTCTTTAAATGCAATTTCAATATTTTTTCTTAAAATTTTTTTTTCAAAAAGGAAGGTTGATTATCCTGTAAATAAATATATTAGAGTACCATGAATTATTTGAATGGTAATTCGCTAAATTTCTTTCCATTATAAGTTCTTCTCAATAGGTCAGGAAGAGAGTGCTCCGGTCTATACCGGTATATAAATAATTGCTTTAATAAGTTTATATATTCTGGGTCTAAGACTATGTAGCCTGTAGATGTTTAATTTGGTTATCGTTTTTTGTTGGGTGTTTGGAAAAAAAATTGTCTGGATGTATTTTTGGTTTACTTTTGTTTTTGGGTTAAGTTGTTATTGATTTTTACACTACATATCTTTTTGTTCATATTATGACCCACATCAAAATTGAAATAAGGAGATGAGATTTGATTACATGTTACAAGTACCTATCTTTCCAAAATGCAATAGTTATCAGAATATTTTTTAGTCCTGTAGATATTTAGCTGATTTTTGTTTTTTAAGTATATAATGGTTAGTTACAGAGCAAGTATTTCACGCGTCCCGCCCGACATCGTTTCCCGTATTCACGCTCATTACTTTGACGTTCACGTGTCAGGCTTACAAAAAAATCGGCCAATCCCGCATCACGCTTAGACCCCAATGAGACCCACTTTACAATTTTCCGGGTAATTGGTCATTTGAACGCAGTGGTTCATATTAGACCGATAGAGATCGTTAGAATTAAAGATAATGTGAACGCTAACTGGTTTTATTTAGACCGATTCAAAGAATTCTAGTGTGAACGAGGTCTAAGCGACAGTTTGACACGCTTTCATAAGATAAGGAATTATGTAACGGCATGTCGACGTACTGCAAGCCTTACTTAATATGCTTCAATATTCTCAGTATATACATGTAGTAATATTGGGTTTTCTTCGAAAAACAAAATATCAAATGGATTCGTCAAGAATATTATAAATGAGTCAGTACACTGTATGTGTAACTGAATCCGTGAGATGTTCGACAACGTACTGTCATGTCAGATAAACTTCTTCGTGCATGTTTTTCATATTTGATTTAGTATTTTCAAGAGGGAGCGGAATGTCCATCGATAGATAAATTAATGGGAGAAAAGGGGTGGGGGTAAAAATGGACAAAATTAGTCCATTACATAATGCGATCTCGGATGCATTTTTTTCCATGGAAATCATGGCTTTTTTTCTTTCTTTTGACATGAAAGTTAAAAAATTATGTTATGTACGGAGTAAGGAGATTGTTCAAACCTTGAAATTTTATTATTAATTTAAAAAATGTTGTTCTCTGGACGACATAAAGAAGTTTTGTTCTGAAGACAAGTTTGTTTGGAACAAATTACTTAATTAAACAGTAAAACAACCTAATCAAAATACTATTCTCCCTGGAATCGAAAGACTGAAATATGTTCTACTGACTTAGGGCTATTTTCCTAAAGCTTGTAGAGTAAAGGCTTGCTTTGTTTGTATGAATTTTTGCTCAAGAATGGCAATTAAGATTGACATCTGCAATCAATAGATAGGCGGGGCTTCATCTTGTATACCTTATATTTAATTGTTATTGAGTATAATGTATACAAGCTGAAGCCCTTCCTATCTATTGATTGCAGATGCCAATCTTAATTACAATGCTTGAGCAAACATTCATACAAACAAAGCAAGCAAGCCAACCAAACTTAAACTACAAGCATTAGGAAAACAGCTCTAATTAATCAACAATATATGGTCCAAACTTCGCCATGGCATATGAATTATCCGATATAAACCAAAGCGAACAAACTTCAATTTACGTGTATCTTATTCTTCAAATCTGAATAAATATCGAGTGGAAAAGAAGTAACATGGTGTATTGATCAACAACACAAAATCCCTACATGCAATTGGCAATACAAAAAGCAAAGGAACAATGCTTTTATTGCTGTTCTTCATCTGGAAGACACTTTGAGGCCTGCTCAGTATGTATTTCCGACTTTTTCAATTAATATGCAATACAATGACCCTTTTTAAAGTCAATAGTTAATTATAAATTCTTGAAAATCATAAAGTTTTTGACATACTGCAATTAGAATTGTACTTTGCTTTTCGAATTACAA